TCAAACAAATTGACACGTCATGAGTTGTGTCAGTAAATATGTATATCATTTCTATGGCAATATACGAAAATCATATCTAGGCTTAGCCCTAAGCCAGTGGCATTATGCAAGAAGTAAGTGAAACTTTCAAGAACAGACTAAAATACCAATTTAAATTGCATATTATCATTTTATTGTGATTATTGATTAAGGATGTAATATTTTAGTCGCATGCCGACTGTGCCATAGGTTTGCCATCACTGCTCTAGTGACTTGGTGGTCGCACCCTGAAACCACAAAGCAAATGCCACAAATATACAGTGGAATATTTTCATGTCTAGCACTATTTGGCATGTATCCCTGACCTTTTTGATGCATAAAACCTCAATATCTAGATTATTCTCATTGCTGTTAATCATTTGGTTGGGCTTCATAAAGCCATTTAAGAGCTTAGTGTGATTATGTCCACTTCCATAGTAAGGTTATAAGACTATGTTAGCACCTGTGCCACTCAGTAACTCAGAAAATGTGGAGGGTGTGTGCACATTTTTAGAATGATTTTGATAGAGTTTTAAAAAAAAATACTTTAGAATAAAAAATTTTGGCAAAAGCTCATTATTTGAAATGAGAACTGTTGTCTTCTACCTTTAAATTTATTTTGCTTTCAAAATGTCGAACGTAAACTAGCTGTGGATTGAAGGATATATTTTCACAGTTTTTGAAGAATAATTTTCCTGTTCCATATTTCAAAAACAGTGTGAAATGCATGGTATTAAAATTCTGGAGTGCAAAACAAGCAACATTAGTAACTGGAAAAGAAAAAAACTGTCAGTTGTTACTTACGGAAAGATGATTCCAATCGAATACCCCAAAAAAAACTATGTACTTTTCCTAAAATCAAATTGTTGGTAACAAAAGAAAATCCACTGACACATGGAAATCAATTGCAAGGTCTTTAAATACATCTATCTGTAACAATAATAAGTAAATCATAAACCAGGATTTACAACTAAAGAACGTAATTTTCACCATCTTTTGCTGAGGCATGTTACTCTACACGGAACTATAAAGACTAGCTGAAAATAAAGGGAAATACGTTATGACTCTTGATGAAGCATAGATTTACCTAAAATGTGGGCAACCAAAAAAAAAAAAGGCTCTATTTGGTATTGAAAATGAAAAGGGAAAAAAAAAGTGTGCAAACTTAGTTCCATCGGTGCAAAGGAAGTTTCAGTATGATTGTCACACGATTCTATTGCAGTAGGAAATTAAACTTAAGAACAGGGCTGCAAATTTTAAAACCTACTCAGCATACTATCAACAGAATGTTTCAGGTCCAGTATTTATGGAAAAATTACCATTTCTTTATCCTAATGGTTTTAAAAGACTTAAACTTCATCAAGTTATCTTAGAAAAGTTCCTCTACATTCTTTGAAAAAAAGAAAACCGATACATATACTGCATAGATACCTTTCCAATGTATGCCTGAAAAGTCCCCTGATGTTTAATGTATGGAGACTCTTGTGCCTTTGGGCTCTTGAAAATAGCTGTTGTGAAGTGCAGACCCACGATTGTTGTATTCTAGGAAGTAGTAGACGAGGAATGGAAATCAATGCCCCTGGAAATTTTACAAAAAGCTCTTCTATTGTGTAGATTTTGTGATGTGGATTTACAGATCAGAAAAAAAGGCTATGAGATCGAACATTTAAAAAAGTAATTTTAAGTGAGACTTCTAATTTACAATCGTGCCAACTTGATTATCAACACATTTCTCACACTTTAAGCTTATTTTAAAAATTTCTTATGATTTTTTTCCAATAAACTTTGATTGGAGTTACCAGTCACATAGCAGTGTATTTTAGCTTATGAGCATAAACAAGATTCAGGGTATATTTTGCATTTTCTTATAACACAGTTTGAGTGTACGCGCTGCAAGAAATGATTTAAGAATCTGCAGTCTTTTTCCTCAGTATGTGTGCAAGGGAAAAGTAATACAGACAAAAGTCGTTAATTCGGACACCCATAATCCGGAATGATCTATAATCCGGACCTCAAAGCTACAAACTTTCTGCGCATGCGTCGCTTTCACGCATGCGCACAGGCATTTAAGAGTGCGCGTAAGACCTTTACTGCTGCGAATATGTTTGTGCGTATGCGCGTTTAATGTGTAACGGAGATATAAGCTAAGCTAAAATTATCTAATTCAGTTAATGTTGCAGATTGCGTTGTTCCTTAATCTTCGAATTGGATCCGGCTTATTATTTTTTGCAGACTGTTAGAGCAATTTCATAAAAGTAAGCTTGAACTTTCGATTATGTCAAATAGAATTTCCGATATATATTTACTAATATGTAATTCGTATCTACAAAGCGAAAGTATGTTTTGAAATCCGAAATCTGTTTATCAATTTCACGCCGCGGATTGGAAGTTGATCTGTCAGCTCTATCCTTATCTTCAGGGTCAAATAGAGTTTCTGATATATATTTATTAATATGCAACGGATCTACAAAGCGAAAGTATATTTCGAATTTCATTAAAACAAAAAGTGGAATTGCTGCAAAAAATGGATAAAGGCATATCCTTTGTTTATCTTTAATGCTGCGGAGCACAATGAATTGGAAGTTGATCTATCAGCACTATGTTTATCTTCACGGCAGATGTTTTTATTTTATATGGCTTATAATTCCTTACTAAATGTAGTATTTCATGTCGATGTACTCCGTCTTTGATATGATTTAAAGCAATTATAGAACTTGAACAGCGGAACTTTGTAACTAAACAAGAAATTATGTCTGTTTAATAGAATTAAAGAGAAAGCATTATCACATGAAACGAGCAACTTACATTGAAAGAAATGTTTAATAAAGTAAACAAATAAATATTAAGCTTTTTCTTTTTGTAAATTTTGATACCCTTTAGATCATAATTGTTCTTTATTTCATAAATTACGGTTTCATATTTTTAATTTTGTAATTTCTGCATGCCATCTTACCAGATTTAAACTGATGATCTATAATCCGGAAAAAATCGATAATCCGGAATCGCCGAAGTCCCAACGAGTCCGGATTAACGACTTTTGACTGTATGTACATTGCACCAAAAAAGGGAAAAAAAAAAAAAAAAAAAAAAAATGGGGCAGTTCTATATCTCTCATTCTACTGGGCTGATTGACAAAATTCAAATTGCATTCTTCATATCTCAAAAGTGAGACTTGGGCTATGTATTAAATTTATATATAGTATTGTTTTAATATAGGTATTTTGACACAAAATCTGACTTTTTTCTGAAATAACATATCAATTGTTTTCCATATTTCAATTCTACAACTCAAATTATGCCTAGATATTAAATTTTGTAATTTTTGATAAGAAATTTAAAAATTTATCCTGGCTCATTTTTTTCAGTTTACACCAAGAATAATTCACTTGGCGAATTTCTTAATTTATAGCAACCTATTTTTCTTTCCTTTTTTTTCATTTCACAGAAGTGGGGGGGGGGAATCGTTGTTCATACTTTCTCATAATTTTAACAAAGTGGTAAATTTGGCATTATTATCATTTATAACAAATATGGCAAATTTCAAAATGTGCTCATATGTACACGTAAATTCACGTGTACCTTAGGAAATTTTGAATTAAAAACTCAAATTTTTTGTAGGTATGCTTAGAAATACATCTATTTTAAGATGATGGTAAAAATTTTATAGGTTATAATTCAATTTTTTTTTAATTTATAAAAATTATTTTAAAATACAAGTTTCAAGAATAAATCATAAAAAATGGGTGAATTTCATTTGGAATGAACCTAAATTTCAAAATGTGAAAGGACGAATCAAAAAAGTTTAATTTAAAAAAAAAAGAGAGAGATATTTCTAAACATATACCAAATTCAATTAACGTGGAGGAACTAAAATTCAGAGAGTTAATTTTTTAAAAACTACTCATGCGAATTTATTGAACTTCAGAGTTTGGCATGGCATGTCATTTCAGAAAAGTCCAATTTAGTGTCAAAATATTATAAAGGTGCTATGTATAAATCTAATACGTATCCTAAGTCATGCTTTCGAGACATGAAAAATGCAAGTTAAATTTCGTCAATTGCCCCAGTAGAACGGGAACTATCCCATTTTATTATTATTATTTGTGCAGTGTACATGTACTTTTCAAAAATCATATTTAAGAATTAGAGACTGCACTTTTATTTATCAATGAAATACTATTTAACACTAGCTTATAATTTGCATTTATTTAAAAATTATTTAAGTTGCTGTGAGATAGTTGTCCTGATCTTTCAGAAAAATCTCTGAATGTTTTACTTTGGTTTAGACTGAGTTAATAATGCTTATCAAACAAACCATCTGGTGTACTTAAAAGGTGATATTTTTAATGCAAAAATAACCAGAAATGTTTATCACTATTTGTAATTAGAAATTATTGCTTAAACTTTCCATACATTAAAGGCTTAGATCAGTCATGAAATTTATGAATAGCGGAAAAGCAAATGTGTTTATCTTAATTTACATTATTGCTGATGTTAAATAAAGTTTGTAAATTACTAATGCAAAGGGGTTGCATTTATAACCTCTAATGCAAAGGGGTTGCATTATTATTATTATTACCTTTATATTGTTACTAATATAAATAATCTTTGTTTTTGTAGCCTATAATTTCATTAAGATATTTTAAAGCATCCTTGAGATGTCTGCCATTTAAGAACAAATTTTGTGATCTATGCTTTTTTTTTTTTTTTGTGTGTGTGTGTGTGTGTGTGTGTGTGTGTGAAGCATATATTGCCCTGGATGGAATGGCGTTTCACTGAAATTGTAATATGGTAGTGGTTTACTTTTATATTCTTGACCTACGTGTAAAATATCTAACCTAAGACCTTTTGAATCATCCTTTATACTGAGTAACAACTCAGAATGGTCATGCTGCTTAGAATGATAATATATTTTACATTTTTCACATTTTCTGTGTTCATTTTTTCAACAGGGCTTATTATGTTTTAAATATTTTATGTAGGTGTCTGATGAATTTGAACATGAAGACGTAGAGGTGGATGATGTATGTTACGGAGTGTTTTCAATTGTGAATTTAACAGCAAAAAAAGTATATAATTTTTTTCTTTTATTATTTTTTAAACTTAACACCTGTAAAATTATTGTGTAGTTGAAAATAGATCAAGGTTTATATGATCTTTAGTTTTTGTAAAAATGATTTTTGGTCTTTAAAAATCCTTAATTTCTTACAAAATTGCCGAAAGATCCTTTTATTTATCTGACATTTATGTCCGTCCCCACCCCTTCTTTGCGAATTCCATTTTGAGTGTGAGTTATTATTTCTGAGGAATATTTTTAGCAATTTGTTGACACATGTGTATCTAATGAGTTATTTGAATTCATTTCTACTTTTGTTATAAACGGTACAATACTCGAGTTTTTGGACATGAGGCCATAGCTCAATCAAAATTTAAACAGTTCAAAATTATTTGATTTTCCATTTGAAAATTCATAAACAACTTTTCTCTTTTGGGGAAATGATTTCTTTTGTTATATGAGGCTACATTTGGTGATTTGTTGACATTTGGGCAATTTAAGATAAATTTGTGATAGATATTTTTTACCAACAAAATAACATTGATAAATATCATAAAAATCCTGATAATATAATAAAATGATACGAGAAATAACATTCATTTTAACCATGCCAACATTAGGCATTGACATCTGTTCTGATCAGTTCTAATCAAGGCAAGCAGTTGTAGTAGCAACAGCTAAGCTTCTGTTATAAATCATAAGGATTATGGTTTCACTTGTCATTTTAACCTAAGCCGCTTGGCATGATATTGACCAAAACCTCTGAATGAGCGAATACATGACGAAAGAAAGCATAAAAAAAAAAGAGTTGACATAAAACTAACTGTAAATAAAACTTAAATAAAATGTCAGTAATCTTCTTTAAAATTTGTGGGACTGCTATATGTACAAAATATAAATATTTTAAGAAATTTTATAATTTAATGCTAATTACTTGATAAATTTACGAAGTTTATTTTTGACTTTGTTTTATAAATTATGTTAAATATTGGACTATGTTTAATCGTAATGCATGCTACTTATAGGTATATTTCATTCTTTTAGAATGGTATTTGAAAAGTGAAGCTCAGACATACACAATTGCTGTAATTTATTCAATTCTCATTCTCTGGCAGGTCCTTAATTTTTTTCTCTGATGGTCCTTAAATGTCCTTAAAAGTACCTATTTTCCTCTGCAGAAATGCATGTGTATGAAAGTATGACTGGTGAAAGTATAATTGCCATAAAAGAGTGAATGGAACCTGGGTATTTGGAGAGATTGAAAAGAAGTTAGGCAATATTATTATTATTTTTTTTTTCCCCTAGTTTGTTGAGCAAAGAATCAGGACAACTGTTTTCAAAGTTATTAAGAGAAAAATAAACCAAGGTTCTGTAACTGTCTCAGATAGCTGGAAACCATATAATTGTGTGCAGAATGAAGGTTTTATACATCTTTCATTCAGTCATAGAGCTCACAAACTCAGTTAAATGTTTGTAGAGCTGCACTGAAACATCTGTGGTGGAGTATTTGCATTTTTCACATTTGCATGCAGTATCCACGTTTGCTGCGCTGTACTTGTGTGCATTCTCTATAGTGCAAGTGCAAAGGCTTGAATGTTTCGCATAGAGACTCTTGCATCTGTATTTCACTGTCCCTGTTTGCTTGTGGTCGATATTCGGCATAGGTTTATCATCATGTATTTAGTTCCTATTTTACCTTTTAATTTTATATTCAACCAAAGTGTTCAACTTTCCTTTATTGAACCTTCTGGCAAGCTTTGTGGCATAAACCATTGCCACATTTGGGGACACAAGAACGCTGCACTTATGCGTGGCCAAAGGAAGCTGAGTATTGAGATTCTATGGCAACAGTATCTGTGCTAACATTTCTATTATGGAGCTGCAAATCAAGAATATTTCAGTGAAAGTACTGATCACTTAGTATGTCAGTGCTGATATTGGATAATTTTTTTTCACAGCTTATTGTGAATTTTGGAGTGTAGGTAAGACTGGTTCATAGGAGTTCATTTTTTCTTCCGTATTAATATGTACGGTATTCTTTTATGTAACAAATATTCTGTATTTTTGTTGGCATGCATTTTCTTTCCAGTCTGTGTCTGTAATAGGTACAGATGTGTGATAGTTTTTCTATCTTTTTATGTTTTGTTTTATTATTAATATTTGTAATACTTATTTGTAGAAAGTTGATAATGTTATATAATGAAAATTTCACAGATAACATTGTACCTGAAAGTTCAATGACTACACATGTGTCGCATGTTTTGGTAAAATTACTGCCTTTTTAAAAAACAAATCCTTCCGTATGGTTTGTCAGATTTGAATTGCAGTTTTCCCTTTCTAACATAACTTCTGATTTAACCAAATTTAACCATGTTGTTGCTCCTGCATGACTCTGATAGACTTAATTCTCTCGATGATATGATTTTAAAACCTCCCACTACTGGAAAATATGATGCCCTAAAACAAAGATTGATTTTAGTGCATTCCAAGAGCGAAGCGTCGAAAATTTGTACTCTCTTGCAAGTTTTAGTGTTTCACGACCAGCGTCCTTCTCAGTTATCGACTCATATGCGGACTTTGCCAGATGATGCCACAGGTAAATCCTTGCTAATGTCTTTAAGGCTTGCAAGGCTTCCTAATTCCTAATAGTACACAGTCAATTTTAGCTGCTCTTGGTGAAGGTGATTTGAATAAATTGGCTGTGGTTGCTGATAAGATTGCTGGGCTTGCTTTGTGGTGACCCCTGAGCCAAGTGAATCTGCTACTGGTCATTTGGAACTCCAGGTAACGGAGCTGACTAAACAAGTAAGTGAGTAAACCTCTACCTTAGGACACATTTCTCGCAGTGCTAAGTGTAATTTTTGGCATTCATACCATTGCAGCAGGTCATGCTTACATACTAATTGTGATAAAGTGCGAACAAACAAGTTTTGCTTTTATCATGTAAATTTTGGGGAACATGCAAGGAAATGTCAGTCTTTTGTGTTCTTTTCACCAAAATAGAGACCACCAGGTGAATCGTACACTCTTGTCCAACCCCTCTTCAAAATAAAATATTTAACTGGTACTGGTGCGGATGTGTTGGTATAACCATAAAAGTATGCTCTGTGTTCTAAGCCTTCGCAGAATTTAGTTTTGTTTGCTACCAATGGAACTAAAATACCCTCATTTGGCACTAAACGCCTTACTTTAAACTTAAGCTTACCTCATACCTTAACTTGGGTATTTGTCATTGCAGATGTAAATCCACCAATTATAGGTGTAGGTTTCCTTAAGAAATATGGATTATTTGTTGATGTTGCTAATAATTGCTATATTGATTCTAAAACTAATTTATCATTCTGTGGTAAATTGTTTGGGAATTCTTTTCATTCATGCATATCTGTTCTTCTTGATGATTCTAAATTTAATAGATTACTAGCTGAATACTCCAAACTCACTAATTCTTCTTACATAACCAACAATAATCAGAATTCAACAATTTTTCATTGTATTGAGACTAAAGGTCCTCTCGTGTTCTCTAAACCTTGTCGTTTATCAGTGGATGTATTCCGAGTGGCAAGAGAAGTGTTTGAGTTCCTTATGTTAAAGAAATTATTCAGCCTTCCAAAAGCCCTTCGTACCCATGTGATGATTATCGCTCCCTGAATGCTGTGTCTATTCCTTAGCAGTATCCTGTATCGCATATTCAAGATTCTCCACAGATATTTTTTGGAAAAAATATTTTCTCAGCACTTGATTTGGCTATGGCACAACATTAAATTCCTGTTAATCACGAGGACATGCCTAAAAAAGCTGTAACCACCCAGTTTGGATTATTTGAGTTTCTTTGCCGTTTGTTTTACAAAATGCAAGTTCAAACAAATTAAAAAATTTTTCATCGAGTACTTTCTTATTTAGATTTTTGTATTCTCTACTTCGATGATTGACTTGGCTATATACTGTAACGTTAGTGGTGACAAGATCCATCCTTTCATTCCTAACCAATTACGAAAGGCAGTGTTTGATTCTCTCCATGGACTTTCTCATCAAGGTATACCATCAAGAATCTAATGTTTTGTATGGCCTTCTATGTCAAGGAATTGTGTGCTTGGACTCTTGCTTGCATTGACTGCCAAAAGTCCGAAGTCATACGGCATACTGACAGCCCATTGCAGGTTTTTGCTGGACGCAAGTCAGTGTTTTGAATAAGTGCATTAGTCGGGCCCTTGCCACCTTCAGAAGGATACTCCAACCTTTTTACCCTTATCGAATGATTTTTCCTGATGGCCGGAAGCAGTACCTAAGAAGGATATTTCGACGGAAACTGCCATTTAAGCATTTTTTACTATTGCATATCTAGGTTTGGAGTTCCCACGACCATGAGTACTGATCAAGACAGATCCCGGTGAATTTTTCTGCCAGAAGAGTCATGCATGTTCACTACTCTCAATAAAATTCTTGGTGTTTACCGAATTCAAACTTCTCCGTACCACCCTGCAGCTAATGGATTAAATGAGAAATTCCTTCATTCACTAAAAGAAGTGCGAATGTGCCATAATAATGGGCAATGAGCCTTCCAGTTGCACTCCTCAGTCTTTGAACAACATACAAAGACGGTCTCAGAGGAACATGCTCGGAAATGGTTTATGGAATGACTGTTTGTCTCCCTTCAGAATTTTTACAACCCACTTAAGTTTCTAATTCTTCTGATCCAGTTTCGTTTTTACAGAAGTTGTGTGCGGCATTGAGAGATATCACCAGTATCTACATTAACTCATGTTAATAAGTATTTTGTACAGCAACTTTAGAATAATGTACTCACATACTTGTGAGACACGATGCAATAAAACCACCACTGATTACCCGTATGACGGACCATTTAAAGTAATAAAAATGTTTCCCTTCTTATTAAAGGAAAAGAATCTGTGATCAGCATTTATCGCTTGAAACCAGTATTTGGGTTTCAGATACTGTAGTATCAGTTCCTGTTCCTGAGCAGATTTTTACTGTAAAACCGAATGTCACTATACCTCCAGTGCAGACTACTCGCTCCAGCAGGAGAGTCAAGTTCCCTAGGTATCTCTGACCTCTTGTGCCTGTGGCAGGTGTTGGGGGGAGTACTGTGGAGTATTTGCATTTTTGACATTAGCATAGCATGCAGTACCCTGCGCATTCACTGTAGTGTGAGTATAAAGACTTGAACATTATTTCGAGAGATTCTCCTGCACTTGTATTTCACTGTTCCTGCTTGCTCATCTTCAACATTCAGCATCAGCTTATCATCATGTATTTACAGGGTTTGTAGCAGTCCTTGCAAGTGCTTATAAGTCGTATATTTGAAAATAAAATGTAAAGGCCCTTATAGGTGCTTACTTTTTCTTTAAAGCCCTTATTTTTTGCTTTTAGTGCTTTTTTTAATGAATGCGCATTTTCCCTCCGTACCAAAGCCGAAACTAAATAAACAACTTTTCTTCCTTATATGGAATGTCAGATGGTGAATCATACTCCCGGAAATAGCTTTTTCCCCTTTCTCTGCATTAACGTAACCTATGGTGCGCGCGAGAGTACAGACAGGTGCACGTCATTCTATTGGTCAAAGAATTGCGAAAACCGTAGAAAATTCTGGTACATTCGGTATTCTTTTCCTCCCACCCAAATACTACACATGTTTGAATTTCTATCAAGATTTTAATAATTTGCATTCTCGTTCCACGTGGTCAATTCATATTCGTGTTTATTTTGATCATTATGCTTATATTATGAGCATATGTATGAATATTTATAATAATATAGTTGCAGTAGCTGCTGAAGTGTAGATAAACTTCCAAAAATGGTTGTATTTTTACACAGATTAGCTTTCTAAGGAATAATATTCGGAATGGCTTAAATAAATAGAAAGTAATGGAATAGTCAAAAAATTTTTTTTTTTCCAATACATTATACATTCGGAGGTTGGGAGGTTCTCCCCTTTCTCCACAAAGTCTCTAATCTTGAAGCTGCGGACTTTTTTTTTTTTTTTTTTTGTTTGTTTGTTTGTTTCTTTGTTTGTTTGGTCATTGTCCAATCTGCATTGAATAGGACTAAATATTTTGCGGTCTACCCAACCCAAGCGGAGAATGAATCTATTCCGGAAATTTAACGCAGTCTGTTCAAAATTAGAATCAAAAACACCCCAGATTAGTAATTCTCTTTCTTTTCTTTATTTAGTTTTTTATTCTCCGAATACCGGCAGCTGTTGATTCCAATTGCACAATATCACGTATCGAAGAATCGCCGCACGTATTGCGCCTTTTACTGTTAAAGGATGGCTGCATGAAGGAATTTCCCCGTCTCCTGATTTCAGAAATGTTCCTCTTTTTTACTTAAATTACTTTGCTTGGAATATATGTTAAGGGAAAACTGTTATGCAATGAAAATTTATAAAATGTTCAGAATTTTGATTTAAGTTAAATTATTTAAATATTAACGTGAGTGGAAAAATAAATTGCATTTATTATTAGGTGCCAAGCGAGTACAAATAATATAGCTTATTATTATTTATTTTCTCTATTTTGAACTGAAATTTCATCATTAAATCTTGTAATATAGTTTAGTTCTGCATAGTTTTTTTTTTTTTTCTCTCATTGTAAACTAATTCTTTAAATTGAACTGTCATTTAAAATAAAAGAAAAAAAAGTTAATTGTTTTCCATTGTTGAGGTAATGCTCATTCTCTTAATAAATATTGCATTGCTCATATTTTAAATTGCAAGTCTAATTTTCTTTTAAGGTTATGAAGTTGTGTATAATGTAATTAGACAGGTGCTTATTTTTTTTTTTCTTAAAATGTGCTTGAAGTGCTTATAGGTGCTTATTTTTTTAACTAAAATGTGGCTACAAACCCTGATTTAGTGTTATATTCTACCATTTAATTTTAAAAAAGTTAACTTTACATTCTACCAGTTTTCTACCTTCCTTTAATGAACCTTCTGTCTAGGCTGGAGTTTTTTGGCATAAACCGTTGCCACTCATCTCTGCATTAAACTAACCATCCATTTCATATCTTTTGAAATCAATGTCTCAGACATTTCGTACTGTATATATTTTAACATAAATAAGAAATTCCAAAATTAGCCTTAACCTCGAGTACATATTTTTCACTGCTTGAACAAGCAATTGCTCTTTCATCTCTCTTTTGAAAGTCTACAGTAAATCAAAATTTATGCAGAAGGAAGTTGAGACCTAGCATTCTTCTCACATATGATAATTCTATGGAAGTTTTTAAGACTGTTTTTAACAACTACCGTCTGAGAATCTGGTACTACATACAAAATGTGTCTCAATTTCTTCTAAAAACTGTAATACTGATCCTATTCCTTCAAATATGACATTTGGCTTGATGCATCTCATAACCAGCCAAATCCTTCTAATGTGCCGGTTCCTTGCCGGGGTCAACACACTTCTATCTAATACTGCACCTTCATTTAGTCTTTGTGCCATCACCACTTAATTTTCACAACTATCTACACCACCAAATTCACTTTTACACAAAACTAAATTTCTTTCAAAACTTTGCAGTAACTTTTCTCCCAATCTACCATTTTGGGCACTAGTTGTAACAGTTTTGGGTTCCAAATAACTTAGTATTGTCAATGTCATAACAAGAAGGTGTTATTTATGTTAATTAAGGTGAATTATCACTGCCAGACTATCTAACCATCAGACAAACAGGCACAGAATTAAAACATTTCAAATAGATTTTACCTCGCCACTTGTAAGTGATTAAAATATACAAACCTAAAAATTTACCAGCCAATCTGGACCTACCGTAATTTCCGGAAGAAAGGCCGCATCAGCGTAAACACCGCACTTGAGAAAAATGGCGGGAAAAAAATTAAAATTACACAGAAACGCCGCAATAGATTAAATTGCGCGTGACATCGTCGTGGGCCGTATAGATGCAAAAACTCAACCTAAGTCCTGATATATGACATACCAGTTAAGAAAAATGCATGAAATGAAACCATAACTCAAAAATAAAGGTAAGAAATGTATAGCTTCTGTGCCGTTTAGAGACATTTTCAAAAATTTTCCGCTCCCTAATTAAAAACTATCCAACAAGTACTTGTACCCTAACTGATGGGATCTGTATTTGGCAGAATGCCAAGAAAAATCCATTCATGCTGAAGGGGAAATACGTCAGAGTTCGTTATTGCGAGGCAGGTGGAGTCGTGTCCGCCTTTGAAAAAAATTGCAGAAAAGGCAGGGGTGGAAAGAGGATGGGTCCTGGAAGATTCATCGAATGGCAGAGGAGAGAGACTATTATTCAAACTGATGAGAATGTTGATTTGAAAGGGGGAAGAATGTTATTGTTCTGAGATCTCGTTTAGGATGAATAAGGCATGTAGGTCCGTTCAAGGGAAAGAACGTAAACAAAATAACGTTCGCAAAAAGCAACTGAGTGGTCTTTTGTGTGGGAACAGCACCAATCTATGCACAATGACAAGGCCATCCAAACTATGTACAATGACCATCATAGGAAATATTTTATTTTCAGTGCACCTAAATGCCGCACCCGCTGAAAATTTAAGTTTTAAACACGTAAACGCCACGGCGTTTCTTCCAGAAATTACGGTAGTTTAAACTCAAAGCGTCCTTTCAAAATGGATATAAATTTAACAGTTTGTATCTAATTTGACTAGAGACGACGAGCTTGTCTAAACCACGGCAGAAATTCAAGCACACTTTTTCAAGACAGGATCTAACCCTGATCTAGAATACTCAGTACAAAAAAAATAAGACTCTGCTTTAATCTGCAAATCACCACTCTGCGGGCAAAATTCTTACTTTCCAATCCTTAATTTCTCTCTGTCTGTTTGTAGTAAAATTGCATGCCACTCAAATCTACATATATTTGGGAATGAGCAAACCTCATGGCAAAAACAGGCAATATAAAAAGAAGTAAATTTAATAACTTTTTGTTACTAAAGTTTAAACATTAATCCCACAATGTTAATGTTAATTTTGTCAATCATCATCACTTTATGTTGGTATATTAAAAATGCTTTGTATTTTTTAATTTAAGGAAATAAATTTTTTGTAATTTTAGAATATGGAGTGTATTAGGCAAATACATTCATTGCTGTTAGACAAATGCAAGGAAGTCTGTGCTGAGAGTGACTATGGAACCTTTAAAAACATCCTTGAGGATATGGAAAAACATGTTGGCCTCATAATCAGTGAACGCCTGGTCAACATTCCAGCACAAATAGCAGTGCCACTTTATGCTGGATTAAGGTATTATTTAAGTTTCTTCTGCTGTGTATAAGTTCTATATTGGTGTGGTTAAGAATATGTAGTAAGAAGTGATTATTAACCCTTTCAAGACAGTGCACCTTTGTTTAAGACACTCCCTCAGGATGAATGGGGTTCGAAATTAATGGTACCACTAGACGGGTTTTACGTCCGAACTTAAGCTAAGCCGAACTTAAGAGGGGGAAAAATCACACACGCACACAAAATTACATTCTAATGTCATACTTTTTGGTATTATTTAGATTATTACTTATGCTATCATGTATGTTAAAATTAGCATTTAATAATCTTTTTCCTTTATTGTACATAAAAATATATTAAAAAAATTGCTTACTTTGAGAAATAATTTTCAGAAGTGCTATTCAAATTATTCTGAAGTGAGCTCAGTCTTCCACAAAATGTCTATAGGGAAATCATTAGGAATATTGCTCTCTAACTCTTTAGAAAATGAATCATCACGCTTATTCATGTCACTGATTGGCTCATTTACCATGTGAGTATATCCTTCATCTAATAAATAACACTTGCTCCCCATCGAGACTTCCCGAAGTAAAATGAAAGTACATGAAATATAAGAAATAAAAGCATAATAGAACTTCACATAGTAACCCAAAAAGCCCTGCATATTAGCAAAAAAAAAAAAAAAAAAAAGAATTCAAAGAGATATCACAGAAACACAGATTTTTATATCACGTGGTGAGTTAAAGAGACAAACTCTTTGTCTACATTATGCTTTCCGTCCTCCCCCACACACACAACAGCTGACATCAACATTAAGCAGAATGTGATCAAAATGAAGGTCAGGATCCTAAAAACTATATTCATTTCAAAAGTTATGGACATGGGATGCCATCTAATGGTCTTTAAAATGTTCCTGGATGCCGGCTGGGAAATGGGTTTGTTTCTTGTTGGCACATATGCGTGACAGTCGGCACAAAAGGGTTAATGTTATGCCTTCCACAACTGCATCTGTGTTTCTCTGTGAACTGAAGTCATTTTCATTTTGGTATAAATATTCTGTCATTAGTCATTTGTTAGGCTGGCCTTGTTGTGCAAAAATTATTGCAACTTTCTAGCAAATCTAAATTTCTGACTGTTTTCAACATATTCAGAACACTAGTTGAAAATATGGGATCTAGTTTTGCCGAAAAGGTATTTGTTAAAAAATTGTTACTGAAATAATTAAGAACTTTTTTTTTTTTCTTTTAGTTGATTTTTAGTGTTACTAAGTATCTGGAAAATAAATGTCTTTAAAAATCAAACCCTGCTACAAAAAGCAGAATTTTTGGTCCCATCCCGTTTTGATACTCTTAATGTTATTATATACTGTAATAGCAAACCTATTTGACTATGGAAATTGAATGTAACAAACTGTATGGATATCATTTAATTAAAACTTTTTTGTATGTCTCATATTTTTTCCAGAATTTCTGCAAGATGTAACAAACAGACAAAAAAAATTACATACCACCCCTAATGAAAGACACCTTTATGTTGTTTTTCTTTTATCTTCACCATCACTTTTTTGTGTTCTGAACAAAGGCTATGAGAGACAAATGTTGACATTTAACTCTTAAGACAAGGATACAGTAAGCACATCTTAGGACATCATATGCTGTACACGACCATTGAACCAAAAACTTTCTTTCAGGGAGTGAAAGAAAAATCATGCATTGTCAGTGTTTTATATGGAACAGCGCACACAAGCCTCATGTGGGATTTAAACATGCACTGTGTTACTGCCAGGTTCATCTTCAGGCTGCTGACACAGGAGCAGAAGGAATGCTGCATCGAAGTCTGCCAGTGTGCTGTGGATGGCTCGTTTTTCATGTAGAGAATCATTATCGATGGCGAAATTTGGGTGTGTGGACACAGCCCTAAGACAAAGCAACAGTCTTCATTTGGCTCCCGTGGACTTCACTATTTTTCCGAAGATGAAGATCCAGCTCAAAGTTTGCCATTTTGACCCCACTGCAGACACGTTTTGAAAAGAAGACTTCTAGGACACATTCCAGCAGTGGCAGAAATGCTGGGAGTGTTGTATTGCTGTACAAGGTGACCGTTTTGAAGAAGATAGTGTGTAGCATTGGTAAATAATGTACTTTCTTTTAAACAGATCCAGTCTCAACTTGACACCATCTCATGTGGTAGTGGTTACAAAATAAATATATATGCAAACAGAGAATGTGCATCTCTTAATAATAAACAAACAAAAAAAAAGAATAGATAAGACTAAATTTCTGAATAACAGTCAGAATATTTAAGTGGCTGAGGCAACAAGAATCAGCAGTAATTTCATAAATTTTCAGGAGTTTCAAGAGTTTGAAGTTAGAACCTTCTTCAGCTGCAAAAGATGAAAATGAAGGAGAAGCCTTTGCTCACATGATACCAATTCTTCATTTTCACTCCAACTGAAAAAGATTCAAACTTTTGAAACTAGTTTTGCAAATTTATAAAAATTACTACTGATCCTTTTTACTTTAACATCTCCAATAATTGTTATTTGGCATGTTATTTTTACTTTAATTTAATATTCATATTGCTTGAATTTCTCTCTCGGCAGCAAGCAGCAGTATCCTTAAACAATTAAATGGGGCTTATGAGAAGTCCTCAGTTTGAATCCAACTTTTGCCAGCTTTTCTTAAATCAATGTTTTTAATTCCTGTAATGTTGCTTTATTTTGAGAACAAGAAAAGAATATTTGTTAAAAATAATTTTAAAGGCTGTAAAAATTTTCTTAGAAAAAGCTCTTTTTCGTTTATTTTTATACTAATTTAAAACATTTTCTCACAAATTTATTTATGGTTAATATATGTAGTATTTATCATAAATAGTTTTTAATATAAAATTATTGATACCTGGCACAATAAATTAATTATGATTTTTTTTACATTAAAACTTTGAAAGGGAAAGTGCCTTTCCATTAAGCTTTTATAAAGATTTCCCGTATATCATTTGCAACATAAATGGATCCATGTGTTGTTCTTCTGTTGTATTTTGGTTTCATCATCCCATAAAATTTAAATTGCGAGAAACCATTATTTATTCAGTATGCTTGTTACCAGTATTTTATATTTTGAATATTCGGTGATAAATATCATCCATCAGTAACAAATAAATTTTAGGAAAATGCAATAAATTGGAGCACTTAAAAAAAAATACTTGTAGTAATTCTTTTTTTAAAAAGCAGACCCTGGCAGAGGCTGGATTTAAATTGAGATCTCATATTTCTCTGCAAGTACCAATAGGCTGTTGACACTTGCTCTTTAGCGAAAAATTTAAATAATGTGAAATTTACTTAATATTTTATCCTCACCTTTTATATTTCAAATACATGCTTTTCATGTAGTTATGACATCGCTTGTGAGTTACCCATTGGATTCACATACTTTAAAATTAGCTTCCTTTCAAGTGTCAAATAAGCATGATAAAATGTATAGGTACTTGTCTGTTAGTTGGGCATAAATGATCGATCAGCTTTCGTAGTGGTCCTTATTAAGTCCTTATATTTGAAAATAAAATATAAAGGCCCTTATAGGTGCTTACTTTTTCTCTAAAGCCCTTATTTTTTTGTTTTTAGTGCTTATTTTTTGCTTTTAGTGCTTTTTTTTTTAATGAATGCGCTGCTTTTTTCTGGTACCAAAGCCGAAACTAAATAAACAACTTTTCTTCCTAATATGGAATGTCAGATGGTGAGTCATACTCCCGGAAATAGCTTTCCCCCCTTTCTCTGCATTAACATAACCTTTGGTGTGCACGAAGAGTACAGACAGGTGCCCGTCGTTCTATTGGTCAAAGAATTGCGAAAGAGTAGAAAATTTTGTTACATTCAGCATTCTTTTCCTCCCCAAATACTACACACGTTTGAATTTCTATAAACATCTTAAAAATTTGCATTCTCGTTTTGCTTAGTCAGTTCATATTCGTGTTTATTATGATCGTTATGCTTATATTATGAGCATATGTATGAATGTTTATAATAACATAGTTGCAGTAACTGCTGAAGTATAGTAAACTTCCAAAAATGGTTGTGTTTTAACACAGATTAACTTTCTAAGGAATAATATTCGGAATGGCTTAAATAAAGTAATCGAATAGTCAAAATAATTTCATTTTTTTGGCCAATATATTATACAGTATGAAGATTGGGAGGTCTCCCCTTTCTCCGTAAAATCTGGAATATTGAAACTGTTACAGTTTGCTGCAAAACAAGCAACGGACTTTTTTGGGGGGGGTCACCTTTCAATCTGGATTGAATAGGACTAAAAGTTCTGCGGTCTACCAACGCAAGCGAAGAATGATTCTATTCCGGAAATTTAACGCCGTCTGTTGAAAATTAGAATGAAAAACAGCCCAGTTATTTTAGTTCTTTATTCTCCCAATACCGGTAGTTGTTGATTCCGATTGCGTAATATCACATAGGGAAGAATTACGGGGCACGTATTGTGCAATAAAGTTTGCGATATTTGCAGAGATAATTAATTTTGATGTTCAGTCCGAGATTTGTTTATGAACACTTAAAAGAGTTATACTGTGCTTGCTAAGCAGAATATTTTTTAGTTCCATTGGTTTTTCTTTTTATATGATGCACATATTGAAATGTCAAAAGCATTTATTTAGCGGAAAAATCTAAAGAGAGGCTACAGTTTCCCCCCCCCCCCTCCGCTCCTTCAAGTTAAGCTCGACTGTCCGAATATTCACCAATTTCCAAGTAAGCGGGTTAGTTAAGTTTTTACTGTTAAAGATGACTGCATGAAGCAAATTTCTGTCTTCTGATTTCAGACATGTCCCTCTTTTTTACTTAAATTACTTTCCTTGCAATATCTGTTAAGAGAAAACTGATATACAATGAAAATTTAGAAAATGTTCAGAATTTAGATTTAAATTATTTAAATATCAATATAAGTGGAAAAATAAATTGTATTTGTTATTAGGTTCCAAGCGAATTTAATATCCTTTTTATTCTTTTTTTTTTTTTTTTTTTTTTTTTTTTTTTTTTTTTTTTTTTGTTTTTTTTTTTTTTTTTTTTTTTTTTTTTTTTTTTTTTTTGTTTTTTTTTTTTTTTTTTCTTTTACAATAAATATGCCTTATTATTACTTATTTTTTCTATTTTGAACTGAAATTTCATCATTAAATCTTGTAATATAGTTTAGTTCTTCATAGTTCTTTTTCCCTCTCATTGTAAACTAGTTCTGTAAATTGAACTATCATTTAAAATTAAAAACAAAACAAAAAAAAAAAAAAAAGTAATTATTTTCCATGGTTGAGGTAATGCTTATTCTCTCTTAATAAGTACTTCATTTCTCATAATTTAAATTACAAGTCTAATTTTTAAGGTTATGCAGTTGTGTATGATGTAATTAGACAGGTGCTTATTTTTTTAATTAAAATGTGGCTGTGAACCCTGTCAATTCATTCATATCTACCAGTGATGGCAAGAGATTAAAAATTATTAATTAATAACCCTTTAAAAACATGAACAATGCAGCATGATATGTTAGTTGTGCCATCAGGTTGTTGGGAGGAACCAGCTGTCAAACCATTTCTCAACAGTATTTCATATCATCATCACTGCTGTATTCTGAACTATGCAAATATTTCTTAGTTTTCAAAACGAAAGTAAAATAATGTAAAGTCAGTATGATCAAAAATTGGAATTGAAATGCCCACCTACTGAAATTATTCTGGAAAGTCTGAGCCATGTATACTGACCTTATTGTACAACACTTTTCTGCTCAATTTGCCACAGTGTTTTACCTTTATATTTCATCAAAATTCTGTCAACAAATTAGCATAATAAATATCTCTTACGATGATATGTGGTATATAATCAATAAACAGTTATTTCATTTCATCCCCTAAAATATTGCCTAAAATCTTCTTGGGAGATTCTGAGGGGTTTTCTGGATTTTGAGCATCTTGAAATAGGCAGATTCATCATATTTCTACACTATCCTATGTTGTTTTGTTTCTGAGTCACAATAACAAAGTTTATCTCACAATCCACATTACAGTCTGATCAAAAATAATTTTACAAGTTTGTTTTTCCCTATCTAAACATAATAGCATACTTTTTAATAGTGAACTAGGATATCACCATAGTTTGCAAACTTGTAATCATGAATATTTTTCAATATTCTGTCTTTTTTTATTAAAAAACTTGTTAAGGATTGATATTTACGTAATGATATTCAAATTGCATCAGAATAACATTAAAATCAGTTTGGCATTCTCTCGAAAACACTTAATATTGCAACATGAAAACCATTTAGCTTTTAAGAAGTAGTGCAACATGAAAACCAATTCTGTTATTAGATGTTCATGATTAATTTTACAATTCTCATGGAATATTTTTTTTTTTTTTTTTTTTTTAGCCATGATATTAAAAAATACAAAGCACTAGGACAACCATTTGATTTTGCTTATTATATCATAATAAGTAAACTTATTGTATATGACAGTGGCCCAGTGGAAGACCGGGTGCATTATGCAAATCCTGAAGAAGAAATTATTGCTGAGGTATGTATAAATTGTTTTATTTTCAAAAAGTTTGAATCACAAACCAAAATATTAATTATTTTACAAATTATCCTATTGAAATTTATTCTACAACTAGCTTTAGCTGTTAGGTGAGTTTAGGTGTCTATAATCTGCTTCAAATGTACTGTACAATGTTGGTAATTTTGCTCGACTAATTAATCGATTAATTAAAATGAGCATTGCAGTAGAAAGTACAATATGCCTTATTTTATAGTTAAGTTTTCATCCTGTTTAATATATTGTTGCTGAACTTAAGTAATGCAATAATTCACATATAAAGTGCATCCAGTAATGCTGGTGTTGCTTCCAAGAAATAAAGTTCATGCCATATAAAGAAATGCTGAATTGTTTGTTATGTATTACAACAGGGCTGCCACACTCCTGGAAAACTGGGTAATGTCAGGGAACGTCGTAATCCGTAAAAAGTGAATTTCACGTCAACGTTGGATAGATATGTTGAAATTATCCCCCATTGCCATTTTGTAAATAAACAATAACTTTTATTTCAGAATTTATCTTTAATACTTTTTAAAACAATAAAGCTGCTATCATGATATAATTTTATCATAATAATTGGTGGAAAAATTCCAATGTTTAAAAATTCATACATTGCATTGAAAAACCAATGAATTTCATTTCCAATTTTGTTTATTACTTAGATGGAATGTAGTGTAAGTATTCAATTTCTGTTGTAATTGTATATCTTTATAGCATGTAAAATTAATTTTTAAGTTTTCCTTTTAATTAATTATATTTGTACTGACATTTTATTATAAATATATTTCAGTAACTGCAAATATTTCAGATGTGCTAACTATCACTTCTGGTATTAATAACTCTTTTCATGTAATTAAAGAGAGAATTTATATGAACTTAACTAATTTTGTAATACACTTGATGATTGCTGAGTAGAATGGTGGTTTAGTATGCAAATATTGTATAGCAAGTTCTCTTAGTTTGACAAAAACGTAATTAAGTTATTGAGGGTAACAACTCCTATTATAGTTATAATAGTAATGCTTTGGGGATTTTTACACATATATATAACACATAAATTTGCCAATTACATAAGACTTATAATACTATATGTATACACACACACATATAGTATTATAAGTCTTATGTAATTGGCAAATTTATGTGTTTTTAAGTGGTACCATTATTAATTTACCCTCTGCACAGCCAACGTTCACTATGCAGATAGACTGGAATTTTTTTAAAACACACCCAGAAAAGTTAGGGAATTTCTTTCTCCTGCTTGAGTGGCAACCCTGTTACAAATTTTCAGAAATTTCATTGGTTACAAAATCTTTTCATTTTGATGTCTGGTTTTAGTAGTATGTATAATATCTAGTATTGTGTAACTTAAGAACAATTGATGATAAACATTTCATCTTGTAAACTTAAAGATGTAAACAACTATAATACTACAAATATATCTTCTGCTTCTTATTATTTTCTGTCTTGGCGAGAAATTTTATTTCTCTTAATTTGCTTCATTGTAACAGTATCGTAGATAATCTGTTGTGTATGATATTGGTAAAACTATTATTCAACAATAAGTGCTTAAATTTTCTTTAGAAGTTAAAAATTAGGGATTGGGAACTGTGCTGCATATTGTCAACTATACTTAGCCCTTCTTATTCTGTGCTATACCTTAATATGTTTGATAAAATGTACGAGACACTCTCATTTCAGTATGCTCCCTCTGTCTGGTTTTTTTTTTTTTTTTTTTTTTTTTTTTTTTTAAAGATAAAATTATTCTGCATGTGTTATTTCTGCTTTATAAAGACTATGTTTTACTGTATCATTCTTGCTTTTACTATTGTGAAATCATATAGATAAGTTGGTACATCCATGGGAGCAGCAATTTATGTTGGGTTATAAAAATATAAGTTTACAGAAAATTAAAATATATTTAAGATAAACTTTATTATTTCTTTTTTGTTTGTAACAAATAAGGAATTCACATGCACTGTGTACCATAAGTATGCTTTTGTATATTTGTAATATAATAAAGATAGTTTTCAGATACGTTCTCAGCCATAGTTTCTTTAGGATTTTTTCAGAAAATATAAATTATCTTCATTCCTCGTCGAATGTTTAAAGACTGTTTCTCTGCCATATTAAATTCTGAGAATCATGGCTTTTCAGTTGGAATGTCAAATTCATTCTTCTGTCTTCTCATTTATTAAATTGTGTTAAAAGTTTCTTTTTCATTCATTATTCTTGCAGTCTCAAGAACATTACTGACTGCATTTTGTTTAAATTCTGAATCTTCATTTTCTAAATAATAGTCACTTCCTTTACCTCATTGTTGAAGAAAGAACAGCAATTTCTTGTAATTTTGGTTCCAACGTTGAGTAAAATCTATCATTTTAAAAATGAAAGAGATGAAAAAATGAGACTTATTGTTGAATGTTGGGCACTAGATTGGATTGGATTATTATTTTAATTTATTATGGCAAAGAACACGAGGGCTATCTGCCTAAAGGAAGGGATGCCTTCGTGGAGGACTTTTTAAGAGAAACTGGCTCGTATATACATTACGCATGGGGAAAACCACGAAAATGCCCATGCAGCCAGCCCGTTTGCAGGATTCGAACCTCAGTGTTCAGAGTCTTTACCACTCGGCCGCTGATGGGCGTTGGCACTAGATATCAACACCTGATTGATAAATAATAGACATTGCAGACTGCCCTGCTATTTGAAGACAAAAAGGTAGCTGCTGGTATCTCAACTGATTACTGAATATAATGCAAATCCAAGTGTATATCAGCACACTTTATCGAATTCTGTTGAATATGGTGTGACGACATCATTTGCATTATTGAAGCGTCATCTGCAAAACTTAAATTTAAAATGTTATAGTAAATATACATTAAAAACTGAAGGATCTTACAAATTGTAAAAGTAGGAATATTTATTATGTCTCGGGCATCTCTATGGGTTATGGTATATTGTGTTATTTGAAAACATTTTAATATTTCATATGCATCTAAATTAATAGGTTTTAATATATCTAATTATTGCAGTCAGCAGTGATGTCATTTGATTACCCAGTTTCCAATGAAAACGATTCTGGTGCATGGACAGATGAGGGAAATGAAGGTCGTCGAAAACGAAGAGTGATGCTCATACCTGCTTCTAAATATGATGAAATGTATTTGAAAATGGTTTCAGAAATTTCTCAAGCATAATTCTAAATTTTCGTGACTGTGTATTATTTATGTAATAAATTGTTTTCAAACATGCTGAAATCCTGTATTTCTTTAATTCTCTGATATATTGTATTTCTCATTCATCAAGTTACAAGTCTGAATATATTACAAACTTTTCGGCCCCCTTCAATTTTCTACACACTTTGTTATTTTTATGGGTATGGCGAACTTCTGGATGTATCAAACATTGAGGATATCTTAGACTAATTTTTTTTAAAAATTTTTAGACTTTTCCAGAATTTTTGTTACTAACTCTTAAATACAACCATATGAAAATCATGAACAATATGAAATCACCTTTAAGCCTTTATCTTTCTCCTGCCTTTCTTTGCAGTCTAAATAAAAGACAATACAAGGCACAATTAAAACTTTAAGTTTCAGACATATTTTTCTTCATCCCTTCTCTCTCTCAGTTGTGATTTATTTGCACTATGCAGCCTAAAACTGGTTATAGGAAATTTTTTGATACCCTAAGCATGTGCTTATCCCGCTTAATGGTTAATCGAGCCCTGCATGTAGCTTAGAAAATTAGTACACAACATGCATACATTAGAAGATCCTACTGTGCCGTACATTGAAACAGAGTTTGAATCAGTTCTTTGAGTTTTAGGGATGATGCATATTTGTAATTCAGGGGTGATTGTGGTCTCAATATAGTTCAGAATTCTGGATTTTTTAGATTTAATAAAGTTCAAAAACTAAATAAAGCTCAATGAGAGATCAAACTTCTTATATGAGTAAACTGGGTTTGCTCAATTTGTCTTTCGCAGAAAAGTTATTTCATTGTTTGTATTCTACAAAAAATGAAAAAAAAAAAAGTTTTACTGATATATTCAGGCTGAAAGAAGATGGAAAACAAAAATCTCCAGTCTTGGCAAAACTGGTTAAATTTGTTTTAACTTGCTTTCATAGACAAACTGTTGAAAGTTCATTTATTTATATGGGTATTATTATGAAAAAATGTTGAGCATCCTTGAATGTGGAAAGCTTTGATGCAACAAACTGGGAAATTTTATTCTCATTACATAACCATACACACATAACTTTTGGCTCTGAAGATCCTATTGATAAAAGATGTTAGGAATAATTTATTGAATAACTGAACAGTTAATCAAAATTCATTACATTCCATGAAACACTTTGTTCTTTCTAGTAGTTTTTCAGCTCGAACACCTACTAATATACATACTTCAAATTATAATCTAAAGTCGTGTATAACAAAATGTTTTGCTGATTACACTGGCTAGATTATTTTTGTATGGCAAAACATGTGATCGTACTGCAGAGATGCCAACTCTCGATTTAGGCGGGAGACTCCCGATTTTCGACTGCTCTCCCAACCCAATTTGCAATATATTTCTCCTGATCTTTTCTTATTCTTAAAATTTCTCACGATTTTTATGGTACTTGGCATAGTACTTCGTTATATGAACAAAAAAAAAAAGTGATTTTGGATGATTGAAAGCAACTGAAATTTCTCTAGATTATATCTAAAACAAAACCTTGCGAATCAGATGAGAATTTTTGCTTTGTGAGCAAGAGCTATACGTATACAAAAACGTTCTCCAATGGACATTGAGCTCCACTGCGTGTCATCAGGCATTTATTAGCCAATGAGCACAAAGCAAGCTCAAGGCTGTTATTTGGATGTTCTTTAGTTATTTCGTTCATTTTGTCCCGAGTTGTGTGAGTACACATGCCTTCGGGAAATAGTTTTAGAAATTATCATCTTTTGTTGTCTGTGAGAAAGGTGAAATGCACGTGTATGTTTCAAAATATTGTACACAGTTGACTTTCCTTTCATTATTTCCTCAAGGAAATGCAATAAATTTGTAATGTCTACCGTGTCCTTGCAAATTTTCGATTTCGCATGGTGAAAGGGCAGATGTTCTCAAACATGTGCGTACACAAGGACAACATGAGTTATTTTGAAAAAAAAAAAACGAAAAAATTAAATTTCTCTTCTAAAACAAAGGACCAAAAAGTTATTAATGCAGAATGTCTGTTCTCTGCCTTTTTACTGGTTTCTTTCTTAACGAAAGCAAAATCTGCCACTGTTCATAACATTTGTACGAAAACTGATTAAAGTAACGATTTTCTTAAACGATGCAAGTAATAAAAATTATTTTTATGTGTAAGGTATTTTTGTGTTGCTTGCATTTAAGAATTAGTAACTATTTAAAGTTAATTCATTATTAAAAACTATCTGTATCATTTAAAAAGTCTTTTTAACATTGTGAAAAATCTCCTGATTTTTGTGTGTCATAGGTTGGCAAGTATGTTACTGAACTTGCCAACCTATGACACACAAAAATACACATGCAAATGCAGCAGTTCTCAAAACTTAATTCTCTCTTTCCTTAAAAGTATGCTGATGTTAGCAAATATTTTTTTTAATGTGAGACATCAAAATTGTAAGCATGTGTGTGAAATAATAGTTAATCATAAATTAATTTTCAATAAATAAAAATATATAATATTTTCTTATAAAGTTGTCTGAAAATATGTGTGTATATGTATGTGTTTCAAATTAATATTCTGAATTATTTGAAATTATAACTCCACAGTAGTTTTCAGGATTCTTTTAAATGGGGTTACCTGATATTTGCATAAGTCTATTTTAAAAGGAAACTTGTATAAAGTATAAAAAAAAATAATGGATAAGACCTTTTTCCATTTTTTTTTTATTAAGTAATGTTTTATGTAAAATTATTAGAGTACGGCGTAAATGAAAAACAAAAAAAATTCAGTAACTGCACAAAATAATTATTAATTTTTAATAGTTTTACATTAAAGTAACTACTAAATTTTTGGGAAATTAATCCTTCTTTCTGTGTAATTCATCAATCAATTTTTACACTATTTACTGTAATATAATCTCCTCCTTCCTTATCAGATTGGATATAGCAAACCAAATGTTTGATAGCTTGAAGTTCGACTGTATGTGCAGATGCAAATTCAAACAAAAAATGTTGCAACAATATGCTTTTATAAGAGCAAAGCTCTCTACAGCTACTAGCCTATGAGGAAGATGCCTTCTTGGAGAATTTTCAAAAGGAAACCAGTTCATATTTACATTTTACATGAAAAGAATTGCAAAAATGCCATACAGATTCACCAGGATTTGACCCTAAATCAACCTATCAATGTTCAGTGGTCTTATCGACTTGCTCTGGTAGGCACTTAATGTAAACATATTAATAACTAATAAGTGGACAATTGATCAGATAATTTTATTTTTAAATACAGATAGCATTTGATGATAGATTTTCAAAAAAGCAGTGAAATTATTAGAAGTGAAGTAATACACAAAAAATGTAAAATGATTCTACTGATTTAGATTTTACAAAAAAGTTTCTGGTAAACTGACATAAATAAGTAGTTAAAAATGGGCAAAAATTATATTTGGTGTTTAGTGTTATAAATTTTTCAATTCCCCCCCCCACCCCCGAAATTTCAAAACATTGTTATATTTGACAAAGTTAAAAAAAAAACTTTAGAAATAAAAAATTTCATATTATTTTTAGGGAATTTAGCAGCTGATTTTAACTGATTGGGGAGAGGAAGGTAACCCAAAATTCAAAACTGGAAGAGTTCTAGATTGAGCACAATAGTAGGATGTTACCTAACACTTTACTGCATCAATTAGTATTCCCTGAAACATACACTCAGCAATGCTCATCTTACATGTATGATATGTAGTGTTTTTTAATTAACATTTTCATAATATGTAAACAAAATGATAAAACATATTAGAGACGTATGTTTTCATAAAACATATTAGAGAGCAGGCCATTCTCGACTTACTGCCTCTCATTCCCTCCCCCCCCCATATATATAAAAATTCATGGTTTATTTTTATTTAATACATTCAGCAAACTCTGTGTAAACCAACCATGCCATCCCATGTGGTCTGTGGAGATGGTTACCTTAAAAAGAGAGACCCTGTTCAAATCAATGTTTTATGTTCACAGAAATACTTGTCACTTTACAAGATGACTGTGAAGAAAGGATTCATTGTGCTTATTAAATATAAATTATCACATTCAAAAAATGTAAACAATAATGTGCTTCTGTTGATTTCACTGTATTTATGTGATGGCTGCTTCTAACCTGAGGCTGACTTACAGATCTCCGTTTTACAATAGCTAAGGACATACTGCTTCTTAATGCAAACACTGCTGCATAAAGTACATTAGAGTCAAATATTTCACTTACTGTTATTATATGATTAAAAAAACTCAATAGACATGCAATGTACTGATGTTTATTATGATGAACAACAAAATGTTCCCAATATTCATACAAATCCAAAATATGCTGGGTGTGATAATATACAAAGAAATACACCATTCTACAATCATATGCATGTTATTTATGAATAATGTTTAAAAAAGTACTCAAGCAGAATTTTAATTTAAAACCCTTCTTGATATTGACGAGATTGCATTTTATTTGCAAGAAATTCTAATTGCCTCTTCGCTTCACAGGCTGGGAAATTACTAATATCATAATAGTTTGTTGCAATTTTCAATAGCCTGAAACAAAGGGGGGAAAAAAAGATTTAATGTAATTCAGTAAATATACAATATTGAAATATCACAGAGCTGAATTATGGAGCCTATACAGATTTTAAGCTAACTTCCACAAAAAACAAAAATTTCAACTACAGTAGCTTTTTGTTAAATTATTATATTTTAAAATAAGTAAGAATGACTAGAAAATATCAAAATCATTAAGGGGGCTGCTGCAGTCAGATCACTTATATCAAAGAAGTAGTAATAAGTTAGATTTCTAGTTCATAACACCAATGTGGAAATGTTGGCGTAAATAATTTAATAATTTTTTCCACAAACAGGGAATGAAGATAAAATAGGATATTTTCATCAGTTCTGCAAATTCTATGATGTGTTTAAAGTATAAGGGCGAGTCAAATGAAAGTGAGCCAACCCCTCCTCAGCAAGAATGGTTCGGTCCATCATCTGCGGCGCATGCGCGTAGCACAGAGACAGCCTTCATTTACGAAAGTGGCGCGAAAGTGTGAGGTTAAAGTTCTTTAAGGCGCTCTTACACTGGGTTGAAGACGGTAGCGTGACATAATGGACGCTCCAAAAGAGGAACAGCGTGGTGTGGTCAGGTTTTTGACAGCTGAAGGTGTTTCCCAACATGAAATTAGTCGCCGTATGACTGCTATGTATGGTGAACATTGCATCGCATTGGCCACTGTGAAGCGTTGGAGCAAACGGTTCAGAGAAGGACGTGAAAGTTGCAAAGACTATCCAAGACCAGGCCAAAGCCACCTTGCAATCACCCCCGACACAATTGCACAGGTTGATGAGCTGATTAGACAAGAACAGAGGATAAGCATCGATGAATTGGCAGAGCGTGTGAACATCAGTCACGGTTCGGTTCACACCATAATTCATGATCATCCAGGTTATCGGCTTTTGTGTGCTCAATGGATGCCCAAGATTTTGAACGACCGCCAGAAGACGGGAGAGGTTCGGCGCTGCTTTGACTCATCTCATCCGGTATCACAATGAGGGTGACGACTTCTTGTCTGCAATTGTGACCGAAGACGAATCATGGTGCCACCACTACGAACCTGAAACACGCCGGCAAAGCTTACAGTGGAAACATTTGAATTCACCACCCCCGAAGAAAGCAAAGGCTGTCATTTCCTCGGGAAAGGTGCTATTGACTTTTTTTTTCGATCGTCAGGGGCTATTACTGATTGAATTTGCTAAACGTGGAGAGACTATCAATAGTTCGCGATATTGTGCAACGCTGGATCGGCTGCATGTCGCAATCAAGAACAAACGACCTGGAAGATTGACGAATGGTGTGATCTTGCTACACGACAATGCTCGTCCCCACGTCGCTGATGTGGTTTAAGACACAACTGGCAAAGTTCAAGTGGGACACACTGCAACATCCTCCATACAGCCCAGATTTGTCGCCATGCGACTTTCACATTTTCGGGAAACTGAAAAAACATCTCAAGGGTACCAGATTCGTGTCGGACGACGCCGTGAAGGAGTCGGTTACAGACTTTTTGAATCGACAGCCCAAGGAGTTTTATGAGACAGGGATCACGCAGCTCATTTGTCAATGGGATAAATGTCTCAATGTTCATGGAGACTACCTTTAAATAAAGTACTCTGTTTGTCATATATTCGCACTGGCTCACTTTCATTTGACTCGCCCTTATACTTCATAAAAATGAAAACCAGTAAATTAGATACTTGATTTTTTAAACTGTAATCCCTCCAAAAAAGAAAAGCGGCGAGAAAACATGGAATTTCATTAAATTCAAACACAGCACCTAATGTTCTGTGCCACACACACACATGCAAGACCGGCACCACTGTGATTAGTGTAGTGATAACACTCCATCATAAGGATTCTATTTTACTTGACTACGGTTGGTTATTTCAATAATATATGACATATCATATTTTAGGATAAAAATATTTTTTTGGATAAATGATTAAATTTGAGTAAAAAGGCAATGATGACACAGATAACAGTACTACAAAGTCTCTTGAAGAAGCATGTGGTAATCTTTGTCATTTGTGATGGAATGAACCTGTCTGTTTAATTTGCAATAATGTTTTAGCTGTCCAATGTAAAAAATCCTCATAATTAAAGAGGCATCTTGAATCCAAGCATCCTTTGTACATGAACAAACCAAAACAATATTTCCAACAACTGTCCTCAAAATATTTTGAAATGTTTATGATTTAGCGAAAGATATTTCCTAGTGTCATATGAAGTTTCATATCTGATTGTTAAAATAAAAATTCATACACCATTGGAGAATATCATGCTATGAAAATGGCAGAAATATGGAAATAAATATGGTGATGAAATTCAGAAAATGTCTTTGTCAAACGGCATTGTCATTAATAGAATTTCTGAAATTAGAAATGGACAATTCAAATAACTTATTAAAGAAAATCCCCAAAATTTACAATTCAATAAGATGAAACAACATTTGTGAAAGCTGCTGGTAATTATCATGCAACTTTTACACAGTCTGATTATCAAGAGGTCCCCTACTGCTTATTAGTAATGGAGCTGAACAATGTGCTATCAAAATCATAAACTATAAATTATAAACAGACAACATTATAAACTTTTTTACTGGCATTAATAAGAAAAATCACCTGCCATATAAAACCCAAGAGGAATTTTTAAGATATCAAGTGATTAACTTAAAAACTTGAATTAACACAAAAATACTTGACTGAATTTTGGACCAGAGCTAGAACTGAATTTCTCACAATTTCTGAAGAAGTAAATGTTCTGCCAAACACAGCATCATATACTTATGTCAAATTAATGTTTAAGCTTCAATGCTCATTAAATTCATATTTCATTAAACACTGGAAAACAATGAAGATCCTTTATGTCCAGAAGTGTTAAATATTGCACCAAGATTTAATTTATTATTCAGCAAAAAAAATAAGTACATCTATCTCAATAAAACAATTTTTTTCATTAATTTTTGTACAATTGAAATACAACACTACTACTTTTTATAAGCATATTCTTTATCAAAGAAAATAATTATTTATAGGAAAATATTTATATTTTCATTTTATATTTAATATCTGAGGTCACGAGAACATTTTGATGATAAAAATTGGCAATGAATGAAAGCGCTGATTCAAAGAGTCCATAAAGAAACATGTCTTGCACTTCTATAAATGGTAATGAGCATTTAATTTAATGATCACAGGCTTATTTGCTACAGTTCCACCTATGGTATCTAAGTGCAATCACTGCCTCTATACTATTTGTGGAAACTCCACAAATGGTAAAACTACTGCCATTACTTCTAAATGCTAATCAAAAGTCAGTAACCACCATTTTGAATAAAGCTTGGCAGTTTTACTTCATCGCATATCTGGAGGGAATCATAGTTGAGATTTTTAATTCCTTCACATTTCTATTTCATCACTACATCATTCACTGTTGCACGATATTCGAATTTCCCAAAAATTCCACAAACACAATGTATGATTTGACGCACACCGATAATCATGCCCTTTTCAGCCTCATTCAGCTCTTACTGTATGTCCCCTTAAATGAGCAGGTAATAACACATATATGCTAATATTCAAGAGCTTTATAAGAAGGAATATGGCAGAATTCAACATTCATGTGTGCTGCCAGCTATCCCCATCAGCAATGCAAGTTATACGAACAGCTTCATCAAAAAAAAAAAAAATTTTAAAGGTTTCAGATTTTAAATTACGTCCAGTTTTTGTTTTTTTTTTTTTTTTTTTTTTACATTTTCTGTGTTACCTTTATTTATTAAATATCATGTTCTTTGCACTTAAACCATAAAATTCAGTTCAACAGCAATGTCGCAAAATAATTTTAAAATGAGCATATCTTTAGAATTTATGATAAACAGTTCCACATGCTGGAGATAAGATACACTTTTTTCTTTGAGAATAGGTCTAAAAAATGGGGTGTGTCTTATACGCCGATACTCAATTTTTGATTACATTCATTTAAGAAGTTATTTATTAAGTTAAATGATTTGAGAAGTGCGCATTAGTAATGTACTGGATGGTACAGAGGAAAATTTGTTGTATAAGGATTAAAATGCTGATTTAGAAGATGTTTCAAGAGACTCTTCATTTAGCTCTGGAGCATTTAGCATCTGGGTTTTTGAGGAAGAAGATTAAAAGGTGTTCACAGATAGACTGGGTATTTACAGAAAGTATTACTTTGTATTACTTCTATTTAAAATACTGTAAATTCATTATAATGATTAGTAATAAAGTTTTATGCTCCAAAAATGTGTATAAAAGAGGAGGTGCTGGCAAATACAGTACAGTCAAAAGTCGTTAATCCGGACTTGTTGGGACTTCGGCGATTCCGGATTATAGATCTTCAGTTTAAATCTTCTAAGATGGCATGCAGAAATCATAAAATTAAAAATATGAAATAAAGAACAATTATGATCTAACGGGTATCAAAATTTACAAAAAAAAGCTTAATATTTATTTGTTTAATTTATTAAAAATTTCTTTTAATGCAAGTTGTTTAAGTTGCTTCATTTTATGTGATAATACTTTCTCTTTAATTCTATAAACAGACATAATTTCTTGTTCAGTTACAAAGTTCCGCTGTTCAAGTCCTGTAATTGCCGTGTCGAGAATACCGACTAATTTGTCAATTGAAATTTTTTCGTTTTCAATAACCTCTGTGTCACTTTCTTCACTATCGGAAGAGAATTATAATGACGAGGAATTTGATTTAAATCATATCAAAGACGGAGTACATTGAGATGAAATACTACATTTAGTAAGGAATTATAAGCCAAATAAAATAACAACATCTGCATTGAAGATAAGGATAGTGCTGACAGATCAACTTCCAATTCATTGCGTGCTGCGGCGTTCAAGAGACTCTTCATTGAGCTCTGGAGCATTTAGCATCTGGGTTTTTGAGGAAGATTAAAAGGTGTTCACAGATAGACTGGGTATTTACAGAAAGTATTACTTTGTATTACTTCTATTTAAAATACTGTAAATTCATTATAATGATCAGTAATAAAGTTTTATGCTCCAAAAATGTGTATAAAAGAGGAGGTGCTGGCAAATACAGTACAGTCAAAAGTCGTTAATCCGGACTCGCTGGGCGATTCCGGATAAAAATATGAAACCGTAATATATGAAACAAAGAACAATTATGATCTAAAGGGTATCAAAATTTACAAAAAAAAAAGCTTAATATTTATTTGTTTACTTTATTAAAAATTTCTTTTAATGTAAGTTATTTAAGTTGCTTTGTTTTATGTGATAATACTTTCTCTTTAATTCTATAAACAGACATAATTTCTTGTTCAGTTACAAAGTTCAGTTCAAGTCCTATAATTGCTGTGTCGAGAATACAGACTAATTTGTCAATCGAAATTTTTTCGTTTTCAATAACCTCTGTGTCACCTTTCTTCACTATCGGAAGAGAATTATAATGACGAGGAATTTGATTTAAACCATATCAAAGACGGAGTACATTGAGATGAAATACTACATTTAGTAAGGAATTATAAGCCAAATAAAATAAAAACATCTGCCCTGAAGATAAGAATAGTGCTGACAAATCAACTTCCAATTCATTGCGTGCGGCGGCGTGAAATTGATAAACAGATTTTGGAATGGTTAGAGAAACAAAGGATATGCCTTTATCCATTTTTTGCAGCAATTCCACTTTTTGTTTAATGGACTTCGAAACATACTTTCGCTTTGTAGATCCTTTACATATTAGTAAATATATATCGGAAATTCTATTTGACATAATCAAAAGTTCAAGCTTACTTTTATAAAGTTGCTCTAACAGTCTGCAAAAAATAATAAGCCGGATCCAATTCGAAGATTAAGGATTAAACAATCTGCAACATTAACTGAATTAAATAATTTTAGCTTAGCTTATACCGCCCATTATACATTACATGCGCACACGCATATTCGCAGCCATAAAGGTGTTATGAACATGCACAGAAAGTTTGTAGCTTTTAGGTCCGGATTATATATCATTCCGGATTATGGGTGTCCAAATTAACGACTTTTGACTGTATATTAAATAACTATACAAACATTCTTTATATACTTACCACTCAGGTTTAATATCTGTGACAGTTCGAATGTAGTTTTTGGTTGTCAATACAAATTCGTTGTAAACAACCCATTCAGGCTTATGGTCTAAACATGTGGAAGGATGAAGCTGTACAACTTGATTATCTTTAATGGTTAGATAATGTCCAGTGCGTTCCAAATGAGCAACCTAGAGAAAAGATTACATTAATTAAAAATAGAATGGGAAGGTATATGAGAATGGGAGTGTATTATGTTAGTTAAATATTCTGCATCTTGAAAGATACACATAAAATCCTTTAATTTGAAATCAATGCAAAAATAAGATTGAATTCTCTTGCAACATTTTTTTTCCTTGTGATAAACCTTGCATTGATCAGGATTGCCACTCAAAGAGGAGAATGAAATTTCCTGACTTTTTTTTATAAAATTCCAGTCAGTCTGTGTAGTGCACGTTGGCCTTGCTGAGAGGTAAATTAATTATAGTAACACTTGAACACACAAAAATTTGCCAATTACATATGATATATATATATATTATAATCCCTCAAGCATTTCTATTATAACTATAATAGGAGTTATTTTCTTCACTAGAGATTAGAATCTGCCCAATCTGGATTAAAAAATATGATTTTGTGGAGACATTTTGCAGCTAAACAAAAGAAAGAAATCTACTTGATGAAATTTTAAAATAAATTTAGGCATTTTATATTTATTTAGCAGCACACAAAAGCAAAAAATATGTGCATTAAATTTCATGATAGCATGTCATCATATTGCTAGAAATAGTTTCAGGATTATACCAGAGAAAATTGCCTGAAATTTGAATTTATTATTAACTAATAAATAAGTAAATTTAGAGGGAAGAAGCCACATTAAATTATACGAATAACATTAAAATAAAGTTAATTACTTAAAAATTGAATAACAATAATCAGCGATATTTTGGCAAATACAATATTAAATGGTTAGCCTAGATGACTGATTACTATTTTACTACAAAATGACTAACACAGCAATTATTAAAAAGTAAAAAAAAAAAAAGTTTTAAAGATTTTGCGATAAAAATCCTAGTATACGCCACGGCCTTGGCACGAATTTGAATATTGTCACCAACACCAAAATGACCCATTTAATGCTCATCATAAATAATGTCACCAAATACCGTGTGTACCGTATACTAGCATTAAATCGATTTTGTTTTATAGGAGAACGGGAAGGTATTTTCTTTAGTTCAACATGCTCTGCACATGTGCAATCGAGTCTCTCAATTCTCAGGGCCATTCGCTGCCTGTGTACTTTCCTAAAATAGCCGCCCCCAGATTTAAAAAAAAAAAAAAAAAAAGTGCTCAATGACTAATAAAACTTTTATTGCATACTCACTAAGCACTTACATATGATAAATTGTACAAAAAGTACATATATATGACAAGTACTTACAACGAATTTAAAATAATTAGGCGTGCTATCACGAGAGTTAGTCCGCCCGCATACGTGCTGCACCCCCATCAGGTACGGCCCTGCTGGTTCTTGAAGTTACTGGAAACCAAAATGCTTGGAAATTGCCTTTCTAAAAGACAGTTTGATTGGAGCTGCGAAAATCAGCTCTAAGCTAGCTGCCTGAATGACGCTGGCGCGTTACATAATTTGCCAAGAAAGTTATCTCTTCCAGTGCTGGTGCAAAACTCGCTTTTTGGGGTATCGTCGTATAAAATTCCTCCACTCTTCCAGATTTTGACTAAAATATTAAATTCCCTGACATTTTTGGTCAACTTTTAAATTCCCTAACTTTTTACAGTCTTCCAGGTAGCGTGGCAATCCTGATTAATGTTTGCTACGTCATAACTGGAAGGTTTGTTAATGTTTATTTCAATCCTAAAAATACATATTATAAAGATCTCAACAATTTTCAAAAACATTCACCTGCATAAAGAATCCAGCTACCAATGCTTTCCTAATATTAATGTAATAGTCTTTACTACTGAACTCTGTAGAGGTCCTCTTAAGACTGAACCTGTCCATAATCCTAGACAGTTGTTGCCGTACATTATCTGCACTCTTCAAAGATCGATAGTTCACAAAGTTGTCATAGCACCACTGAGGATCTTCATGATCTGAAAAAGATTTTTTATTTGTTCAAAAATAAAAACTTTATACAAACAGCGAGTCAAAATGCTGTAAATTTAGGTATTACATTGTTATACAGTCGAATTTCAGAAATCTGCAAAGCTTGGGACCAGAGGTTGTGCGAATTTTAGGATTTTGCGGATTTCAGGACAGAAAAGATAAAGCATAATATTTGGACTAAAAGTGCAAAATGAATAAGGCATATTAGATACATTTAATTAAATTATTATATACATTATTGCAATAATTTATTATATGCATTAAAGTATTATTACATATATAAATTGATTATATTATTCATTGTATTATTATAAGTACACAGCATTGAGGTTTGCCGATTTCGCCTAATGTAAAGATTTCTGGTTTCGTATTCCGGTGTTAGAATCACTGTTGCTGGAAAATTTCAACAGCTTTTCTATATTTTTCCGTATATCATACACAATCGTGTCGCAATTCCATACCATTCTGCTATAAATCGCGGAGTAGTACCTGCTTCCATCTTTTGCAGAATTTGCACTTTTTGCGTTACCGTCAATGCAACGTGTTTACATTTTTCAACTTTGCAAGCAGTAAAATCACGAGTACGTTACTTATCTGTCATTGTATTAAAAAAGGGCTGAAATTAAAAATATTCTTAATTTATCCACAAAATATCCAGATAAAAAAAAAAGGCAGCGCCAAACAATCTTGTGAAATGAAATAACAAAGCTCAGAAAAGACAACAACGTGAATTGTGAACTTGAACAAAGAGTTGAGTGAATCGTCTGCTTTTTTAACCTCGAAGCAGATTAGAAGGGAAAAACTTATTTATTTTACCTTATTTTTTTTACTTTTTTATATCGATAATTTGGTACTTCCGTTTTGACTCATTATTATTCAGTAATTATGACGTCATTATTCGGTAAGTATTTTTTCTTCGACATTTCGTACTCGATGTTTCAGTTTCCGGAACCTATAAACTGAATGTTTATATTCTGAGAGGCAACACAGATTTCAGGTCGGTGGATTTTCAGTATTTGACTGTATTATAATCACCTTTTCAAGCATTTATGTTTTCTTATAACACATTCATGAAATTACTTCACATAATTTATTCTGAAATTATATATGAAAATTAAAACAAGTTATTTAAAAATATATAATATTCTCTTAAATTTATCTGCAATACAGCCTTTTTTTTAATTATAAATTAAATCCTTAAATAGTATTGTAAATAACAGCAGAAACATTTATGACTTAACAAAAAGGAGAAAAATCAAAAATACAGATCTTGTTCATGTTTATCTGGCACTTTTATTATGAATTGATATGCAGTACTTTTGTCCCTGATATCATTCTACATTAAAATGTAAGTTTAAAATTTAACAAAAGAATCATTTAATAATAAAAAATTACTTCCATGGAGGGGACATATCAGCTACATTAAAATCTTAGATACATTTATCAGCACATACGTAACAAGATCTAAAATTTCAGGGACTGTATTAACCTGGTGATAACACAGGTTATAGTGTCTAAAACATGATTACTTCTAACCCCCTGATTATTTCTTCCTGTCTTAACTGACAGTGAATTTGAAAACATAAAGCATAAAAGGATAATCTTTATGATAAAGAAATATTTCATGGTGTAGATGTGGAAAAATAAGAATTGCAGCGATGCTGAAGATGACAGTGAAATAGACAACATGAAAAATTAGCCTTACCTAAATCTCTTTTTTATTTAGATAATGGCCAAGCACACAAGGATTATCTCCCTAAAGGGAAGGATGCTATTATAGATGACTTTATAACTCTTTCACTCTGAAGTCACCCAAAACACCCAACCATTCAGACATCGGCAGGTCACAAGCATCATTTTCTACCAGGTGTTTTCCCCCCATCACCTTAGTGCATGGTTCACTTTTTTGGGAGTTGTTAAATGTCATGCCAATCATTCCTTTCAAGCAACTAAAAGTAGTTCTGTTATTCCAAATGCACCTTTCCTCTCCTTTGTTTAGCATCAATGTTTATCTACTGATGTTCACAGTTGGAATCCTGTCCTAAGGGGAAACTGCACAAAGATCCCAAGAGAAAAGCTATCACTTCACTTAAGTAGGTTATTTTGTTAGCGCTGTAGCATTGGCATGGGAAAAGGAAATCTATTCCAACAAAAATACGTATATACGAACATTTTATACTTTTGAGTGAAGCAGATTTTGGCCTCTACCAATGCGAAATAATTCATGAAAATTAGCTGTAGTGTTACACGTAAAAAAAACTAAGGTTAATGTGACATGTGGGAAACCATTTGCAGACAGTCCCTTCATTAGTATTGTTCCTAGTCAAACTACTAGTCTGATGGCTTTCACTACTCAACTTTAGTGGGCACTGAAGCCTTAAGCAGAGCCTTTTAATATTCACAGCAATGTCCTGATGCTTCTCCTATGCGTCTTCTGTTGATCAAAAATTGATATGATCATGCAGTAGCTGATAAGAGTTACATGTCTGTCGTAAAAAACAGGTAATAAACTTTTTCAAAAAATATTTAAAGGAATTTGACAAAATTTCACAATTTGTATCAATTTTAATGCAATTCTTTTATTCCAGATTTACCATGAAATGAAATCTCGTATGGATTATTTTTTCATTTAGGGAAGGGCTATACAGTTTCAAAAGAGTTTATTAAAATATTAATAGTTGTTTCTGTGCACTCATTTTTAGAACTTCAAATAAATAACTTAAATAAGGCTTGTCGAAGGGGGGGGAAAGCTATGATTTAAAACTTAGTCTCTATTAACTGAGATTTTGACTGTCTGAGATGGTAATGGATCCAGAGGTTCTTACTGTAATTAAATATTTTAAATGCTTCAATGCATTTCAAAATGGCATTCAAATTTTAATTCCTACTTGCAGAACATGTAGAGGTGTAGCAAGGAATCCTAGACTTTTGTGGAAAACAGTAACAGTTTGAACAATACTGAATTAAGTTACTGCTTCCAGAAGATGTATGAATACTGACAGAAATGTATAATTATCCAAAGGGATTATTTGAAAGATGGCCACATATTAGTAACTTGAATTATCTGCAGTAAAGAGTTACATGCAAAGTCCCATGAACTTTTTGATCTTATTATGTATATTAATGAAATATTTGAAAAATCAAAGAAATAATTTTTTAAATAAATGGTTATAAGATACAATAAAATAAAAATTCCAAAAAATTAAACTGAGCAAAATTATGTATGAAATTTGTTTAAAGAAAAGATGCATTTTTAATTATAATTTTTTTTTTAAAAAAACTAAATGCATTTAAATTTTTAAAAAATAGAGAGTATTATCTGAATTAACAATTTAATCAGCCATGACCTGAGAATAAAATACAATAAACTGAATATATTGCATATATCCCTGTCCTTAACCCTTTGCGGCTCAGTGTTCCACTAAATTGAATCGCTTCTGAAACCTTTAAATTCAACCGTAAATAAATAACAATGCCTTTACAATATACTTTGAACTTTTCTTTTTAACCCCTTCACGCCGACTGTCACGTATACGTGCCAGCAACAAACACACTTACCTACCGGCCGACACGCAGGCGTGCCAGAGCATTTTTGCGTTTACTACCTACCGACTGTCAGTACCCTGTGCCAGTACCCTGGAACGTTTTTCAAATTATAATTTCTGCCACAAGATGGCACTGTATGTCCATATGGTTTCAGATACATGTACATTAGACCTTCTACTCGAAATGAGAGAAGAATGACTCACATACACGTGTTTTTGATTATATAAACAAGCGGGGAACTAAATGTTTCCGAATGGCGTGATTTATGACGTCTCTTTAAATCGCACTTTATTCGCACGTGGTAGTTGTTTATTGTAAGTAGAAGTTTTATATGCGCTAAAGCGTTGAGTATTTTGGTTTACAGTTCAGTTTTTAGAAAATAATTAGATCTTGTTAGACGTGAATTCTTTCTGTTTTTGCTGGCTGTACTCCAAATTATCTGTTCTATATATTTTTTAATCTTTCAGACAAAAAACATACCCAAAATCATTGAATAAACGCGGGTGTTCCATTAGCGGGAACACTGCGCCTTTAGCGATCTCATGCTGTTAGGAATCAGAACATCTGTGCTTAGGAGAGAACATCCGTTGTTTATGTTTTCTGTTTCCGTTGCTTTGGGGGGGGAATGAATTCAAACAATGCAGTATTGAGGGGTGAGGTCTGTTTTCTGTTATGAAAGTCCTAATATTGGCATCTCGAATTTTTTGGAACTAGTTTTTAGGCGGGAATTTTATTAGTAGCTTGACTCATCTTTACTTAGACCTGTGCAAATTTTTTGCTGTCGCTTTTTAGTCTCATTCACGTTTATTTTTAATAATTGTGTATATATTTTTCGTGTATGTATATATCATAGGCTTATTTTTCTTCACTGTTAATATTAATCGTAGTTAATTTTTTTTATTATTAATTTTCCATAAATGGTGCGGAGAGGTCTAACTCTTTCCGAAAATTTATAAATATTTTTGTATATAGGATTTGTATATATAGATATTTATCTCATTTATCCGTATATATTCAAGAATATTGTGTATATCCAGAAAACCATGTATACAGCCATAATACAGAGTTTTTTCATTCTTATACAAATGCTTCTACTCATTTTCGTGCTTCACTGCAATGCTCGCTTAGTCGCACTTTTAAAAGCTCTGGCGGCGCAGTGTTCCACCCCATGGAACACCTACAGAACTAAAACATTAAGTGCATCTTTTACAAAATTTTACCTGTATACTCCTTTAGGACTAAATAGACAGCATACAACTTTTTTTGTTGAAATTCCGACGTTAACGTATAGTGCGCCGCAAAGGGTTAAAAAAAGAAGAAAAAAAAATTAAAGAAGTAATAAATTATTTCCTTTAAAAAATCCTAGCATTTATAAACTGATCATTTGGAAATTTATCTATGCAATATAAACACTTTGCAAACATTCAACAACATTCACTTAAACTACTGTTCACCATGAAGTTTTTAAAATTTATTGTGCTCACATTCAGTAAGCTTTTATTTCTCAACAACTACTTCTTTCCCTGATGACTAAACATCTTCAAGGAGCTTCAGATGAGCTGAGCAGCACTTAAATGTGAAATTCTGAGTAACAAAATAAAATAACATTCTAATATAGAGTATTTCTTCTTGTGAGAAAGCATTAATAACTCTTAAATTTATATCATCCCGAAAATATAAACAGCAAGATTTACAAAGATCTAGGGAACGACGGAAAAAAATTACCTTATATAGCAGAAAATTTAATTTCTGTTTTACAAAATAATTTTTAAGCATAGTTTAATCTTTCAACACAAATATAATACTGTACAAATTCTCTAGTCCCTTAATAAATCAAATATATAACACTATTTTCACTCCATTTTGTATAAGTAGTCCAACCATCCCAAAAAATTTGCTATTAATACTAAAGCAGCAACTAAATATCTTAAATGTGTACATTTTTCTTATCACACATGATTTTAAAGGCTTCAGAGTTTTTCATATTTCTGATTTTATGCAATTAATATAATTAATTTATACAATTAATTAAGTTCTGAACACTGGGATTTGTGCTCATGCACCCACAGAAGAAAGGGATGAATTAGAAAAGGACAACTTTTATGATTCACTTGCAAAGAGCTATAAGAGACTAAGCTTGACATCGGAGACTTTGATGCCAAGATTGGAATAAAGCGATATATGAGATCCCAAACCCCTGGTGAGGGCCTTAATGCCGACACTACTGGTAATGAAGCATCAAACTTCTTTAAAAAATGAAGTCACCTCTCAAACAGAAAGAAGAATATGAGAGAAAGAATATGTTTCTATAAATTAGGTTTAAAAACTCAACAAAATTACAAAAATGTTATGCATAGTATGTCAAATAAGATTAATATAGTGTTTGAGCATTATTCCACAGTCTTTCATTCGTATGATACATTTGATGGTTTTACCTTGCAGTTTAATGCTGGAATAGTGTCCAATTTATTACTAGAATCACAGTTCATCAGATCAAGTCACATATTACGAATCATCTCGCATCAGATTCCAAAATTCAACAAGATGCAGAATCCTGTATTGTCAGCGATGACATGTGGGAAGTTAGAAATCCAGAATAGGCAGAATCTTTCTCAGTCCCAAAGTTCATGTTTCTGCATACTCCTTCACAAAATACTACAGTTATTTATGGCAATAGCAAATGACGACTAGAAATTACAATGCATATCAATTGCTGTGATGATCATTAATAGCTTTACTCTAGTATTAAATACCGTAGGTTCCCCCCCCCCCACTAATTTTCCAGCATACATACAAATTGCCAAATGAAGTGTGAATTTAATTGCCATTTCTAAATAGAATGATTAATCTCAGAGAAAGGTACGAAAACAGCATAATTCAAAGTTGCTTAAAAACCTAATATGCAACTTTAGCAACAAAAGCCTCAGAACCAACATATATCACTTCTGAATGTACATAATTTGCAAATAATACCATTTACAGCAATGATGGACTACATCCAGTTTATCTGGCACTGGTAACAATTATTCTTTTGAAAGTTCAAGCATTAAGTGCTATAAAAAATTATTTTACATTCTTTAAGATTTACATATATGATCTATGTTTAATCACTACATAAAACAATTTAAAACGGAATATAAATTATACTATTACAGCAAACATGGGCAATAACTAGTAAAAATGAGCAACAGTAATTAATTTTGAAAAATATAAGCATGCATGTACTTACTCTGCTTGAAGGCGTGGTATACATTAAGCAAGGTCAAGTGATCACCATCGATGTGGGCAAACCTCATCTTCGCATCATCTGCTGCTTTCTTGGCTTCATTAGGCCTCACAAAGCACTGTGGAACTAAATAGTGTTGGGTGGGGGGGCCGCAAAAATATCATCCACTAAACTTAATGTGAATGCAAATTAAAATAATCTTAAACAAGCTCATGCTTGCTTAAGATTTGTAGAAAAAGATGCATTTTACACATCTGGTTCAAAATAAAATAAAAAACGTTCGATTTGCCCCCTTTCCAATTTCCCGATTTTTGTTCATTTGAAATGTTATGCAACCTACCTAGTTGGTATAAATAATATACTAAAAAATCATAAAATTTTGTGGTTATGGATTTATCGCCAGTAGAAAATGGCTATTTCTACATCCAATACAAATATTTAAAAGGATAAAAAGTATTCACTACTAAAAATTGCCTAAATTAATACAAATTTATTATGATGTACATAAATGAACTTTTAAATCTTCAAATTGAAAATAAATATTTCTCTTCTCAGTATAACGAATGGGAACAAGAAAACTATAAATTGTTTACACAATGCATATTTTAAACGACCCAAACTATCCAACTGTTAATTACATTATTTTAATACTTAATTTAAATCATACCCACATAACAAACAATGAAAATGCTTTGTTCAATTATAATATTTTATTTTAAGACAAAAATAAACCCTTCTTCAATCTTACCAAGGAATAATTTTGATTAAAAATAAAAGCTACATTTTAATTTGTCTCTAACTATTTAAAATAATTTTTCTCCATTCTAACATTTTTCGTGTTATTCTTTTTTTTAAGTTTAATAAAACAACAAATTCGTATTTAATTTTTGTTCTTATGTCTTTCATTAATATTACATTCTGAAGACATATAATAGTTTATACCTAAAATTACTATAGATTTAATTACTTCATGCTAATATATTATAGTTACAATAATAGTAAGAAAATCAAAATAATAACTGACTTTTGTCCACGGGAAAGAGATAATTCGACCTCCCATGAATGAATCTTTTATACTATTGAATTTAGAGTGTCGTTACATGTTCTGAATCATACTGCCTGCAAGGCTTGGCACATCATTTATATCTGGATAGAAATTCAAGGGTACCAACTCAAAATGTTAAAAACGGACTATGGAAAAAACATTAAACTGTAACGAGACTACCTTAAGTGAATTCTTAAATATAAATTTAGTTGAAAATTTCATAAAAACCTTTCTTTTAAAGTATTTTAATATTATTTTTCACGTACTTGAGCTATACAACATTTAAAAAAGCAAAACAATTAATCACAATAAAAGATTATTACTAAATTTAATTAAATATTAAAAAAATATGCTCTTAATCACGAAACAAACAAAGGAAAAATAATTTTCACCTACATTAAATTTTAGAAATTATATCCTTGCAAAATTACATTTATATATGTACATATCTACTATAAGAATCTTTTACATAGAAAAATGGAAGTACTTATAGAAATAATTTTAAAAATACCTTACACTTTTAAGGTGAATCCCAAACCAAACTCAACTTAGAATGTCGATGAGGATATGTTATCAAGATTATAAAAAGTCAATGTTAGAAACCTAGTATACAAAATAATGCTACAGAAATTTGCAGAACTAGCTTGTATATCACAAAATATAAATATGCTAATATTAAAGTTTTAATTACATAATTAACCCCTTTGAGTCTTGAATATCTACTGCTTAAAAAAAAAATGCGTAAACATAAAAGTACATCGAAGAAATATCAAATAAGAAAATACTGTCTTAACAAAAATATAGTACTTAAACTGAGTATTTCTTTATTTTGCTTACTTAAAAATTATACAAATGTTTATAAGAGTCAAAATAAAATGTTTATATGGAAACTGACAAATAAGTAATAATGGAAATTAACAAGCTAACAAAGCACAGAACGGCTGTCGGCCTAACGAAGGAATCTTAAATGGAGGAAAAGAATTTCTAAGGAAAAATGGCTCTCTTAATGAATGAAAAAATTTTTGTGGCACTTATGTAGCAAACTTATTTCACAAGCAATCAAACAAGAGATATAATAATAAGTATTAAGAGGTTTAACTCAGTAAATCAATGGCAAAAAATGCACAATATCTATATGATAGTCTAGCTACTCCACATTTATAAAAATCAGGTCTGAATTTCATTACCTTGAAATGACTTCAGGAACAAAAACATGAGGACTAACATAAAAGATAGAGATAAAAATAATTAAATTCAAAATTTTTGAAAAGAGATTGCTCCTAACAAAATGTAGACGTAAGCAACTTAAGCTATCGAAACATTTCGGGAAAAGAAAAGAATTATCTAAAAAATTCTTTATTATTAATTACTCCCATTATCAAATTTTTAATAATTAGACAAAAAAATAATATCAAATATAAGATTCCACCAGCTCAAAATCTTCTGTATAATAAAAATCTGATAGCTAGACAAAGCAATAATTCCTAAAAATAGTTATAAACTATTATTATTAATTGCTGCTGAATGGGAAACTGCATTTCTGAATGAGCCTGTTTGACAATTTGACAGAAAGAAAATTATTAATCTTTTAGAAAAAATTTTCTGCCTATAGTTAAAAAAAGTGGATTCAAATGGAAAGATTCTATTTATAACCAGCTTGCTATATGAATGAAATTAAATGTAGCTAGTATCAAAAAGATAATTTCCAAATGTAAACTACCATCTAATGCCCCAATGACTGATTTTAGATTCCACACATTATTAGAAATTTTATAAACTGCAAGAGAGTAGGAAGCATTTACTAAATGAAATGGTTAAAAAGTTTCACACTTTAAGAGCAAGATTATGCATACCATGAATGATGATTAAATGTTATTTATGAGCTGATGCATGCTGTTAATTAAATTTACTGCTTTTACAAAGGACAAAAGTTGCAAACCTTTGCAATTGTAACCCCCGTGACTTACTGTCAATATTTTCAAAAATATGCTGGTCAGATGATTTTTTAAAAAATAAATAGCCACCTTTGTCATCATATAGACAAACAATCTTCAAGCCTATTCGCATTACCTACAGCCATTTATTATGACAAACTTTATAATTTTAAGCTAAAACAATGCAGCAATAAAAGAACAGCCACAATCAAATAATTTCTAGAATGAAAACTACAGAATGATTTTTCCTCAGTAATTCCTTAAAGAATTCCATAATCTCAATCAAATCTCAATCAGTAGAATATACTAACTTATTAAAGATTAAAATAAATTGCTTCAAACTTATGTTCTACAATACCTGATAACATAGCTGTTATTGAGAGTATTTCATTTGAACAGTTGTAGTCACAGGAAGAAATCAGCATTTTTGCCAACTGAGGATCCAAAGGAAATTCTGCCATCACTGCTCCAAGATCTGTAATGTCTCCTTCATCATTCAAGCTTTGTAAATAATTTAATAGTTCTAATGCTCTCATTAACGTTTCTGGAGCTGAAATGCATAAATGTATGGCAATTGCATTACAAATTATTTATTACAAATTCTGTTTACTAAAAATTTATTTACCTTCACCATCAATAAATAAACCTTAAAAGCAAGCTTTACTTAAAAGCAAACTATTGTTTCTTTAGTTTCAATTAAAAATTTCATGGCAACTGGTAAGAACAAATTCAAAGCAAGTTTTTTTTTCCCACCCCCCAGCAATTTTGCAACAAAACAATGTATTCCTGCAGAAATTACACCCATAGTTTCTTCCACTGTAGATAAAAACCACAAACACATTTTAAAATTGAGTTTAACAAAAAAAAAAAAAAAAAAAAAATCTTAATTTGCCTATAGAAATCATTGAAACTTAGAATAGAACAAAAAGAATGCATATAAAATTGGTGTCTTTGCTTGCTGAAACTGAAAAATATTATTTCATGGTTGCCTGAAGAATGGTCACAAAATCACATGGTTGCCTGATATTATGTTCACAGTTGCCAGTAACATATTGTAACATAGTTGCCAGTTCATAGCTGCAAGTTTTAAACTATAAAATATTTTTATAAAATCTGCATTTTTAAAATGCAGCTATGAAAAAGTATCAATAACAATATATAAAATATTCAAAAAACATAACTAAAGTTGCTAACTGCAAAGCTTCTTAAAACTAAAAGAATATTTTAAAAGCGTTTTTTGAGGGAAAAAAGTCTTTAGGAAGCAAAAAATTAAGCTCCACTTTCTGATTATCTGCACACCCACCGAAAAGTCATGAAAACATATTCACGAGACAAAGAAATATGTCACCAAACTCCTAAATGTGGCCAAAATTTATACATGGCAACCCAAGAATGAAGAAAAACCTGGTGTAAAAAAATCTAGGGGCAACAAAATTTTACTTAAGTACTTAGGGCTCTAGCCCTGATGCTTTCCAGCAGCTTCTTTCTATGATAATGCTTCCTTCTGTGATACTTTCCATCAAGATACTCAATAATAATAAAGTTTCTGCCAATCAATTTGGAACACCAACAAAACCACATTCATTTAATTCTCTGCACAATACACCAAAAACACACAGTGACCAAAGAACACGCCTGATGCTGCTCTTTCTTCGAGTGAAATGGCTTTCATCTACTTCAATAACTTTGTCACCTCTGCCAATTTTCAACTAAATTAAGCAATTAAATATGTTGCACATACCTCACACATGTAACTGTTCCAGTCTACAGTTGCATTGTGGATATCTTCAGCTGAAATTAGCAAAATTCAATAGATATCAATTCCTTTTAATAGCTTTCATTTAAGAATTTATCCCTTTCACATGAGATTCATGCCTGTAAGGAAATGATTTTCAACCCTTTGAACTAGTTTTCTGTTCTTAATCCTTTCTTCTTATTACAGAATTCTTTCCTGCAGTGCTAATTTGCCGTTAAGTTATGTATAAAATAAAATTTCATTTTGTGATTCTTTAAACATAATTTTCTTCTATCATGAATAATGCCTTCTTTTTGAACAAAATCTATTGCAGACATTTTGCACTGAGCAATTAGAAAGTTGTTGGATCCACAGCATTATCAAAATATTCTTAAAATAAACCAGTATTTCAACATAAAAATCTAGAACTACCTAAATTAACGCAGATTCTTAATTCCCACGTACTTAGAGAAATCTAAATTTAGCTGCAATTTAAAAAGAAAAACATACCTGGAGGGTCCATAAAATCAAAATGCACCAGGTCATCAATTCCAAGTTTTTTGAGTTGTAACACAACAGTCCCAAGATTTGATCGTAGAATTTCAGGATAAGTTTGATCTTGCATTTCTACCTTGTAAGCTTTTTCGGTGTACAATCGGAAACACTTTCCTGGCCGAGTCCTTCCAGCACGACCAGCTCTCTGCTGTGCACTAGCTTTACTTATTGGTGATACAAGTAAGGATTCAACTCTTATTCTTGGATTGTATACCTAAAATAATAAAAAGTTTTAAAAAAAATAAACGTTACATTTTCTTACATATGTTGTTGTAAATTTCAGAAAATATTTTAATTCATTGACTGCACTGCTGTCTTTATTTATTATTAAAATATTGTGTATTATTTAGTTATTTGCTGCTTTTAGGATAATATTTTTTTGGATTTATTTTATTTGTAACTGAATTTATGGCCACATATTTGGCATATAATTGTTGATTAGGATGTAAAACACAATCTTATCACTTTTAGTTAGTTGGTTATTTTTTAGATAGTTGAAACTGGTTGTTGTCATAATCATTTCTTTTTCCTGTCATTTTATCACATTCTAATTTAAAAATAGCATTTATGTGGTGCTATCTAAAGAATAATAAGTGTTTATTTCTAATACAGAATTGTGCATCTTTCAAAAATGAGTCCAACAGAATTTAAACTGTAAAAATAGCTCAATTAGAAAGCCAGATAAGGGCAAATATGCTCTCGACTGGCCTTGGTTAACACTTTTTGTCACCAATTTGGTAATTTCTTGCTGACTTTCCAACTTTTTAAAAGATCTAGGAAAACACATTTTCAAAGTCCTACAGTCAACTTTTTGTAAAGCTTTCAGAAGCCCGGGCTCTTTAATTCAGATATAACTTCCTGTTCATTTAAAGTTCTATTGCTGTGCCTAGTGCAGTAATTGCTATGCTGAGAATTCTGATCAACTTGTCAATCGAAATTTCTTTCATTTTCAATAACCTATCTACCACTTTCATCCCTATCGGTAGCAGTATTTTCTGGATCTACACCCATATTACAGATTTCGCTATCCATTAACTGACTGATGATTAAAGCACTGTCAAAACTTCTGTTATATCAGCATTTTTTACCACTTCTCTATATTTCTTTGCAAAATCTATTAATTGGAAAATTTCACCTTTGATTTCAGATATCCGAAAGCCTTAAAATTCGTAGCTACCATCTTCATGATCCTCACTATGAAATATGGTAGCTGGCCATAAATTATGCCAAGCATTTTTTAAAGTATCTGGAGATGCATCCTCCCACAGTTTTGGGATGCTCCACACAACAGACTTTATGCTAAAATTTTAAACAAATTCTTGAATAGTCTTGCCATTATTCAAGAAATTTAACACGGATTTTAAAAATGGTACATCATATTTGCATTTCAGTGCACACACTATTCCAACATCCATAGACTGAATGATGGACATACTATTTGGAGGAAAGAATAATATAGACACATTATCTTCAACTCCAGCATTGGCTTTTCATTAGTGTTTCTTTTGTGAATTTTTGGATAAAGCTAGCAATTCTTAAAGGAACCCACCTGATTTTGATAGCATCTAATGAAGGTCAGTTTCTCATCTTTTGGCAAATCACAACTGTCGGTCAAGTGATTTTTATTACACTCAGGCACCTCAGAGAATTGTTATAAAAAATTCTCCGTGCCCAAACCTTTGACAGGGTAAGCACATCATGGTATTTCAAATAGAACTAAATATCTGGATACTAACTTGCAGGTCAAGAATAGTCCTCTTTTTATAGATGTTTCTTCAGACTTCATTTCTCAGAGATGTGAAAAATACTGGAAGTTTCATTTCTATTTCTTGCGATTTCTTGATAAACTGTGTGATAACACAGTGTCAATCATCACAGAGTTCTTTTGTAATGTCTTCAATGTTAGAGTTCTCAGGTAGTTTTCACAGGGTTCATAGCCACATTTTAGTTAAAAAAATAAGCACTTTTCAAGCACATTTGAAGGAAAAAATAAACACCTGTCTAATGACATTATACACAACTGCATAACCTTAAAAGAAAAATTAGACTTGTAATTTAAAATATGAGCAATGCAATATTTATTAAGAGAATGAGCATTACCCAGGGTTGCCACTCAAACAGGAGAATGAAATTCCCTGACTTTTCCAGGTTTTCCAGGTGCGTTTCAAGAAAATTCCAGTCTATCCGCGTAATGTACGTTGGCTACGCCTAAGAGGTAAATTAATGGTATTACATGTACTTGTGTTGTGTAGCAAATTCACTTAATTATTCAATAAATCCCAGAGGACATTTATTCTTAATTATTCTTGGTATACTTTGTTTGATAATGTTGTTTACTTTTCCACTTAAGAAACTTAATAAAATTTAAGATATATACATTGGATAACAAATGTATGTTTTATTTAATTATTACTCATGATCATCACCAGTTCAACATGAGGCTAATCCGGTCCTTATAAATCACAACGCAATGCTAAATAGTTAGGTTAGATTTTAGGTAAATTTAATTTGTGTGAGGTATGTTCTTAAAAAAGCACCTTAACACTTGAAAACACAAATATAATTATAATACTTGTTGTTTTCTCCTTTGAAGATTGAGATTAGAATCTTCTCAATCTGGAATAAAATAAGGCTTTTTTTGCAGACATTCTGCAGCTAAACGAAAGAAAGAAATCTATTTTAATAAATTGAGGTATTTTATATTTAGTTCGCAGCATACATAAGAAAAAAATATGTGCATTAAATTTCGTGATGGTATGTCATCATACTGCTAGAATTAATTTCAAGATTATGCCAGAGAAAATTTCCTAAAATTTAGAAATATTATTTACTAATAATTAATAAATTTAGAGGGAAGAAGCATCATTAAATTATACGAATAACATAAAATAAAGATAATTACTTAAAAATTGAATTAGAATAATCAACAATATTTTAGCGAATATAGTTATATTTACATGGTTAAGCCCTAGATGACTGACTAGATTACTATTTTTTTATTTTACTGCAAAATGGCAAATAAGGCATTTATATATATATTATTAAAGGGGGGAGAGAAAAGGGGGTATAAAAGGATTTTGCGGTAAAATTCCTAGTATACAATAAGGCCTTTGGCACGATTTTGAAAATTGTCGCCAACACCAAAATGACCCTGTTTACTGCTCATCATCATGTCGCCAAATCCCATGTGTACCATAACATGGAGGATTATTTTAACCAAAAACGTCTATGCAAAGAATCTCTAATTCTATGGTCTATGTAGAGAAAAAATTGGTTCCATACAACGTAAAATGCTATTACATGCCGCTAGAATGTGGAGGGAAAATTTGCCAAGGGATTTGGCGACGGAACCCTGCGGCCAGAATTTCCCTCTCCGCGATGTGTACTGGAAATTGAGAAACATGTTAAGAAGAAACGTTTTTTGACAAAAAGAAAGCTACGAAAATCCGTTTTTAAATTATTGCGAAAAATCCAAGAAGAAACATTTTATCAAATGATGTTTCTTCTTGGATTTTTCACAATAATTTTAAAAACAGATTTTCGTAGTTTCCCCCCCCTGAAAAATTACTAACCCATGAATTAATTTACTTGCACCAAAAAATATTTTCTTTTCCTTTAGAGTTTAACTACTTGCGCTAAGACTAAACTTCACGGTTGCGGTGCCGTGCGCTACAATATAGCAAGTGGTAAAGTGTCTCATTTACGCCGCTCCGCATCTGCGAGTGCAATCCAGAGCTGTAACTTGAGAAATAAACAATCTCGTTGTTAGGCGACGTGTGCACCATGTTATTTTCATTTTTGCGATAAATGCTTATCGACGTGGTGTTCACGTTGCTCGCAGTTTGAAGCAAAAACATCTCGACGTGCATGGCACTTCTTTTTAGCGCAAGTGGTTAAAGAAATTTTAAAGGATATTCATTTAATGAACTCTTGATAACGTGACCTTCGAACTTCGACACCGGTTTCCAGCTTTGGCGGCAGATATATCACGCATGCACAGCTGTTTCCCTCTATGATGGAACGGAGCCACGTCTGTTGCAGAGAGGTTTTCCTTCTTTACAATACATATTCTTTGATTCTAACCTCCATGGTACCGTATACTAAGATTAAACCCATTTTGTTTTATACGAGAACAGGTACTTTCTTTAGTTCATGCACTGCACATGCGATTCTCGAGAATACTGGAAACCAAAAGTTGCGGGAAACTTGCTTTGCCTTTCTAAAAAGCAATCAAATTGGAGCTGCGAAAATTGGCTCTATGCCAGCAGACACTCACGTGATAGGCAATTTGCCAAAAAAGTTATCTCTTCCGACGTCGGCGCAAAAATCGCTTTTTTTGGCGGGATCATCGTATGAACTTCCCTGACTTTTCCAGATTTTGACAAAAATACTTAAATTCCCTGACTTTTCCCTGAATTTTTTGGTCAATTTTCGAATTCCCTGACTTTTCCCGGTTTTCCAGGTAGCGTGGCAACCCTGATTACCTCAACAATGGAAAACAATTAACTTTTTTTTCTTTTATTTTAAATGACAGTTCAATTTACAGAATTAGTTTACAATGAGAGAAAAAAAAAACTATGCAGAACTAAACTATATTACAAGATTTAATGATGATATTTCAGTTGAAAATATAGAAAATAAATAATAATAAGCTATATTAATTGTATTCATTTGGCACCTAATAATAAATACAATTTATTTTTCCACTCATATTAATATTTAAATAATTTAACTTAAATCAAAATTCTGAACATTTTCTAAATTTTCATTGCATAACAGTTTTCCCTTAACATATATTCCAAGCAAAGTAATTTAAATAAAAAAAAGAGGCACATTTCTGAAATCAGAAGACGGGAAATTGCTTCATCCAGTCATCCTTTAACAGTAAAAGCTTAACTAACCCACGTTCTCGGAAATTCCCGAATATTCCAGATAGTAACTGGAAAAAGAGGAGTGAGGGAGATTGTAGCCGTTCTTTAGATTTCTCGGCCAAATAAATGATTTTGACGTTTCGATATGTGCATCATATAAAAATAGACCAATGGAACTGAGAAATATTCTGCTTAGAAAGTACAGTAAAACTCTTTTAAGTGTTCATAAACAAATCTCAGACTGAACATCAAAATTAATTATCAATGCAAAATACCGCAAACATAATTGCGCAATACGGCAAACGTTATTGCGCAATACGTGTGGCATAATTCTTCATCCATA